GGTGATCTGATTAATTATAGAACTATCAGGACGATCGCTTAATTTCTTATTAAAAGCTAAGCGATGGTCGTTCAGGATGCTCTTCTGAGAATCATTTCAATCAAAAGAGATACCGAATGCGCGGACCGCGGCAAGAGACAACAAAAAAGGGTAATCGGGACTGAGCTCCCCAATCCGGCGAATAGCCAATCAGGAACATTGGATGAATGCTAACCGTTTCCCCCCAAATGTTCTCCCCGCCGCAAGAGAGCTACGCCGGAAAGATGCGAAAGCCTGCGCGCATTCGATTTCTTAGTAGACGACGCAGATGCCGTAATGTCTAATGATGAACTCCCAAGATGCTAAGTCGATGTTGACCATGACGAAAAAGTAAAACAAATTGAAATTTCTGCTGCTCGCTGCCTTTTAATGAATCGCTGCTCCTACCGCGCTGCCGTCTGACTGAATGGCGACTGGCACGGAAAGAATCGAGGGGAACGAGAAACGAAAACCTAAAATCCGAAATTGTTTCGAAGGGAAAACCTGTTTCTGCTGGGGGCATCTTCTGCGTTAGTCTCTGGCAAGCGGCGCTCGCACCAGGCGTTTGCCACCAGGTGACATCCGCAAACTTCGTGGACACCCAGCGGCAGTTCGCGGTACCTGACGAAGACTCACGGTCTCATTAGAGGCCCCACGAACAGTTTGCTGCAGTTTTTCCTCATATAATGCTCTTTCATTAGATGCTCGCTGTCTTCTTGACAGTTACTGGCTCTCTTGTCGGACGATACTTCTTCTCCTTCGTCTTTTCGAGTTTCAACCGCTGAGAATTCCGCTGCCAGGCTCGACAAGAACCGCTCCGACTTAGCATAATGTTACACGGAACTGACAGCGCCGGAGTCTCGTGATACGCCGGAGTTTTCCCTGATGCTTTCGAGCTCTGATTTCAGCTTTGTTAGTCCCGAAAGAGTTCATTTCGTGTCACCGTAAGTCAGGATCTCGATTGCATGGGACGCATTCGCCACTCGCGTCATGAGAACAATGACCTTGAGAAACCATCGCCGAACCGTTCCTCGATGTTCGATTCTGCTGCTGCTGCCATCGTCCGGACTCCTCCTCACTTTCTCCACCGCGCGAATCAACCGGTGGTCGCCACCGCTGTCAGAAGCTCGTGCTTTGCACGCACGGGTGTGGAAAGTCGAAGGCGACATATCGTGGTCGGTGTCGCTGACGCTGTCTACGGATTTTATGACGTACAAGCGGACAGACACATATTCTACGGAACTTACGGGCGAGCGATCGGTAAACTAACCGAGTCGTCCTGACCCAGGCTTCTCATCTTGTTCGTCCGCGGATCTTTATGATTTTTCTCTCCTGCGGGATCAGCTCCGTGGTGGGTCTTCACGAAACTGACTGAGGTCACTTCTTCATGACTTACTCACTCCGTTGGAAGTAAAGGTATTTCGTTGTGCGGATCCAGATTCGATGACTATCCCTCTCCCTAGTCATCTGGCTGCTGAAATACTCGGGACGTGAGCGGACATGGGTCATAGCGCTGGAAGGTCTCCCGGAGTTTAAGGCTCTAGGAAAGCTTTGCTCTTCCAGTGATTCGGATTGCTTGCGGACTTTGACTTTCCCAGACGGAATTAATAAGGCTCATCACTCCTTGCAATCACGTTTCCATCGTGGTGCCGAATAAACGAGGATACACTGTACATGCAGTCATGAGTTCATGAGTAGAAGACGAAGTCCAATTCAAATATTTACACAGGCGAAAAGAGACTGAGCTTTCGAGCGCACGAGTGTTTTTCCCGATCTCGGACGCATTCAAATCGTCGTGTTTGCCTTTTCCCACTCCAGGAGCGACTGCCGTTGGATCGGAGCGGACGCATCGAGGGAGGAGGAATAGGAAGCGGACAAGATCCAAGCCACGTGAGGAACACAATAGCAGCAGCCATCCGAGAGCCCTGGCTTATACGGACCTCTTCGCCGAGGGAAAAAGAACTGACTGCTTTGAGCCACGTCCCTAAACAGCCATGGAGGCAACGACTCTAGGTACTCGACCTAATCCAGAAAGCTGTTACGGATGAATTCCCCGAAATATGCCAGGAGATCGGAGAGCGATATGTGAGTGATTCGATCTATCTGAGAGCCCGCTGGCCACAGACGATTGCTACCACGGTAAGAAGTTTCGTCTCTTTGTCACAAGGGATCGAGCTCCGAGACAGACGCCCCCGTGCACCGCGCCTGTCACCTCTTGCGGGTCACGCGGTCGAATCTCTGGTTTCTGACACAAATGTCGTCGTCTGATTCGCGAGCTGCGGATGGGTCGGAGATGCTGCCAGTAGTCGAGAAGCGACAAGTGCGGTGCTCAGTTGAGCTGCTGAGGTCGTGCGAGTAGATCACTTAAGCACCGTTGTCGACATGTGGGGAATGTAGGACTGCAAGTGAATTTGTTAAGCAGTGCCCGCTTGAGGGGACGAGCGAGCGAATGGAGCTCCTCAAATTCAGACCCTCGTCAGAGGAATCGCGAATACCATAGAACTGCTTTTGGTCGATCAAACGAACCGCTGGACTATTTCATAAGAAGGCAGATCTTGTTTACTCGCAACAGGTTGGCACCATCGACCGGAATTCGCGGAAGTTCTGCATTAGCTCGCCGAATCACTGAGACGGACGGAAATCCTGAAGTTGAGGCTCGAAGCTCATTGAAATTGAACACGCATGCAATGATCGGCATTCGAACGAGGATCGGTTGTGCTACCGATCGTTTGCGGCGAACCCCCGCAAACACTTGCGAACAGTAACTCACTTCAGAGAATAAGTACTGTACCTTTGAAGTACCTAATTAGCCAGAAAAACTGACAGGCAATTCGCCGCGCCACACACAATGGCCATGTTTTCACAATCTGAGTGAATGTGCTAAAGACTCCTAAGAAAACTTCGGAAGGAAAGGAAAACACAGAGTTCCAGATGAGTCGGAAATGCGGAAAGCTTCAGCTCATGCGAGCGTTCCCGAAATCAGCAAACGTATACCGGTTGAGCGTCTGATCAGATGAGTTTCAAGAAAATCGGAGACCTCGTGAAAAGCCCCCCGTGGTTCTGAATGAGACTGAAAAAATTTTGAGAAAATCTTCCTTCCAATTATTATGATTAGGGAATTAGGAATATCGGGGGGCAATAGTCTCATTAGCGAGCCTTGTCTGAAGAGCTGATTGCGCCGTTCCCGGAGACGACAGTATTGCGAATTCAGGCCTTGAGAGCGCACTGATTGTCGCTCAGAACACCGGAACCGAAGATTCCCACGGGAGCCAGGCGTTGACGCGAGTCACTTTTCAAATCATACTTACGTCAGGTTTCACGAGAAAGGAGAATAGGGGAAGCGCTTGTGGAAACGTTAGCTAATTAGGATAGCGGAGTGCTCCGGATAATTTGCTCCCAGGAAGGCGCCTCGCGGCGAGCTCGCTCTGTCTCGGCATTCTCCGCTGTTTCAGGGACCTATCATACGGTGACTGTGAGGAGGGGAAACTCACTGTCAACGTCCCTCTTTATGCGTAGCCCAGCCCCGTCGGACCCTGTGTACCGTCGGACTCCTTGCGGCTCCCTCGGCGCTAAAGGCCTCCCCGTGAACGCTCGGTGTCCGGAGCGGCGTAGCACAGATGTCAACATGGTGATGATGTTTTGAAGTCTACGGCAAGCGGAAAAAAGTTCAGCTGAAATGGATATCGTGATTGTATGATGAGGTTTCGATGCACAACAGGTAGGTTATCACCGAGTCGAGTCCTGCGAGGGAGGAACAGGCCGTCAGGTGCAAGGAGCGTGCGAGGACGTCGATGTGTTGTCTTGGCCCACTTAGAGACGCCCATAAGGGTCCAAATCAGCTGTGGATTCAGAACTCCGAGCCCGGAGGACACGAGCCAGTCTCGCAACGGGTTCTTCTCCCCTGAAAGACTCGGACGTTGTACCGCGGTCAAATAGACTCCGTCAGGAAATCGAAGAGTTCAGAACGCACAGCACTCACCTGTCTTCAATTTGACAGCTGGGTGAAACGCCGAGGCTGCCGTCATGTCCGTGGCGAAGTGGGAACGACGACGACCCATGAGTCCTCCGGTTCGCTCCATCCCCGCGAGGGGCGGATAAATTTTTCCTGGATAGGAAAGCTAGAATATGAGCTAGATACTGATCGGGAGATCATCTCCCGTTATTGACGGGACGTTAAGTCGCTCATCTTACAGGCATTCGATTTCTCAGAAAAGCAGAGCGCTCGAGTTGAATTTTTAGGAACGAGGTGGAAATTTCCGGGAGTTCACTTTCGCACTATTGTGTGGGAATTCACGTGATATCACGGCCTGTTGAGCGCGAACCGCTATGAACCGACGCACGAAAGTCAAGTCAGTGGACACCCGTCTTTCTGTAGCCAAGGGCAGGGCTCTCATTGTGCTCAGCTACCGGGATTCTTCTAGTACAAAGCGAACATTTGTTCGCAGGAAGAACCTCTAGCCAGCTGGTCAAGAAGCTGTTACGGCTTGTACGGAGCATCCCGCCGTATCAGGAGCGGACCATATAGCCCCAGATTGGCTTGAAATCCGATAGTCCGGAATCCGAAGAGATCGATTACTGCGATTCGGCTGAATTCGCGACTCTGCGGAGGAACAAACCCGATGGAGCTTTTCCGCGGATCTTCTTGCGGCTCAAATCCCCCCTCTCGAATCCCGGAGGCCATAGAACGGATTCCGGCGGACGGAGTGTTCGAAGTCCTGCCGAACTTAGAAATGAATCGGCGGATTTTGTTTACGTGTGACTGGTTTGCCTGATAGGCCGGAATTTTCGACAATTCTGCGTCGGCTGGCTCAATCAGCTTCTCTGAGGGTCAAAACTCCGAGCGTGTTCCTTAATATACCTGACGCCCATAAAGCTTTGAAGAGGTAATGAAGTTCGTTCAGCGCCAAATCGATTCATCGTTCGCGCTGATTACCTAAACGAAGTTCATTTTCTCCTTCCGACAGCGTGAGCTCCCTAGAAACATGTATTCGGAATGGAGCGAGATCCAGGTAGCCGAGGAGGCTCGACAGAGGTCCTCTTCCGTTCTGGCGAAGTTCCCAAGTGCCTCCAGCGGGGCTGTGGTCGAGGCCGTAGTCCAGTCTCTGGCGCATTCCCTTGGTCTGAGTTCGGGCACTCCCGAAGTCAGCAACCTCCACACTGGTAAGACGTCGAATCGAATAACTTCCCTCGATACGGAAGGAGCTTATATTCGTCGGGAAGAAACGCTTTCAGACGGCAATAGAAACATCTGGAATTCATCGTTTCAGATGTCGAAGTCAACTGGTGTATGGAGGTGATGTGTCACGGTCTCAACCTTTCCTTGAAGGAGAAGGAGCATGAAGCAATCAAAAACTGTGTTCATGTATATTGTGAATGGCTCGTTGCGCTCATACCCGACGAAGCAAAGGTAATCCTTGAATCCGGTCTTTCATTTCATCGGAGCGGCGAAACCGAGTGTCTGAGCGGATAGGGACACGACCAGCTGACGAAGGTCCAATGACTCGAGCGATGAAGGACTACAGAGGAAAGGATATAATGATGATTCCTTGTCGAGCAGATTTGTGTGCCTCGACCCGTCATCTTGGGAGCGAACCAGTATTCACGGAGGATCCTCTGGCATCTCTACAATCTATTCTCGCCGAGGACCCAGGAGCAGGTGACGTCGGATGTCGCGTCCCGTCAAGCGCTCCTCTGCCATCGGGTGCTTCGAAGGGTGCAATTCATAGCCACGAAAAGTCCGATCCTAGAGCAGGAAACCTGGCAGGAAATCCTTTCATTCCTCCTTGCGATCAACGATGTTATGCTTTCGGATCGACAGTGTAAAGGTGAACCAACAAAAGTCGTGTGGAAGAAAAATCATCAGACGCCAGAACTTGAGGCCGTTGAGAGCAGAATGTGCTCGATCATAATTTTTGTTCTCTTCGCAGACGCGGACACCGAGGCGCATTTGTGCGAACGTCTCCTGGGTGTCTTGTTTCAAGTGTGGTTGATGGCCTGCCATCGATCAAGCTTCCCGTCCCCGTCATTCTGGAAAACGCTACAAGGCCTTTGTCTACGTTGGAGACATCGACAGATTCTGATCGACCAATGGCGAAAGATCCAACTGATCATGACCGGCAAACTATGCCGTGAAATCCTCGACAGTGAATACCCTCAAGTCAAAATCGGTTGGTATCCCCCGCGGTATAGTTTTCAATCGTACAGTTTTGAGTTGGTCGGTCTCATTGGTCGAGAATTGCGAGCGTTGCCATTTGAAGAAATATACCCAGCCCAGAGGAGAAGAGAAGATCCCGATAGATACTCCTATTGTATTCCGTGTTCCGTAATCCGCATCATTATACTATTATCAATTTATTATCTCTTGTTAGACATTAATGAATATAGTCGCGAATGATGTGATATTATTGCTATATTCCCCCATTTCGCAGAGGATGGTGACAAGGAATATCCGTTGGTGCCGACCGATATGAGCGGCGAGCGTCTTGGACAATCTTGGTATCGCATGTTGCACACTCTCGGGGATCTCTCCCAGCTGGCGAAGGACCAGGGTTCCGTGAACGGCACCTTGACGCACCTGAGTCAGGAGCTCCACGAGAACGAAGCACAGATTTTCTACCGGACGATGGCTTCGATATCGTCCTACGTCGACGTGTGGCTGGGACGGTATTCGGAAGAGAACGCGTACAGATTACTTCTCCCAGCGAGCCAGAGCGCCAACTCGTCGATGTCGTCGTCGACGAATCTCTCAGCCGGACCTCCCACCCCACCTACGCTACGGAAGAACAAACAGAAAGCTGGTCAGAAACTCCACATTCCACAACTCATCCAACACAAGACTCCCTCGACCGTTTCTCCCGTCGTCACTCCGACCGGAGCCGTCCAGACCCCCACCTTTCCCGTTGAAAAACCCACCGAACGCTTCAATACGGGATTGAACGTCACCCGACGTCTGACTCTTCACCCGAAACGGCCAACCGTGAACTCGCTCCTGCATCTCTACGGTCATTGGCTTTTCGAGTCGTCGTACGTCCAGGCGTCGGACGGCGAGAGCTCGTTTCTCGACTCGGAGACCGAGTCCATTCAAAGTCAGTCGAGTCAACACGATCCCTCTGCGAAATCGTTCTCGGACAGCGACTCGATGTCGGACTCCCATCTGGGTCTGTCGCCGAGCTGGTCGTTCGAATGGGGACAAGCCGAGGCCTTAGGAACATTGTGTAAAATTTTCAGCTCAAAAGCTTCCGACGAAGGGCTGCTGAGCGTGTATTTAGCTAGATTCTTCATAGCGTTGAAACACGCACTGAGTTCGCAGCTGCCCCAAGAAGCCCCGAGTATTGTGACGTGCAGCGTGGTGGCGCATTCAGCGGATCTCTTCAAGTGCGATCTAGAGAGCGCGGCTCTCCTGGTGCCGAGTTTCGTCAGCGCCATCGAGAACGTCCTCATGCCGCCCCAAGGTAGGCCTAGTCGATTTCCGTTTTCGATGTCATTCTCTTCGATTCCTCGACGACCCGATCCATTCGTCTTGAGCCCCAGATCAAAGCTGATTACAATTACTAGAGAGGACTTCTTATTTCCCTTCCAGTTCGCTCAAGTTCTGCACACCTGCCCACGAGTCCAGTCCCTGAGAACCTTCTGCACAATTCCGCCATTTCTATTCTTCAGAGTTTGCTACCGTTGACTGTGCATAGCAGCTCGCTACAAATTCGCGATCAAAACAACAGACTTGTGTCGTTATCTTGTTTCCGAGCTCGACTCCTCCGCCTCCTTGTGAATTCGCTGACCCACGAGCTGGACTCGTTGAATACGCAAACCCTTCTACATAGCCTCATGTGTGCCGTTCTCGATCAGGTCGAATACGACAGCAGCATAGCCGCCAACCCGCCACCAGGTGAGTAGCTTGCCTGATAATTATTCGAGAGACCAGCCCACTGATTTCCCGTTGCACTCGGGAAGGATTCGGCAGGAACCGCGGGGGCTGGGAGAAGACCTGTTCTCATCGAAGATGTCATTGCAGAAGGCAGCATCAAGGACGACGCCGTATTCCAGGACAACCATCTTCTTTTCGTAGCCATTAAATCCGTCTGTCAAAATCTGACGTCTTCTTGGAAAAACGACACCTCGATCGTTCTCACTGCGCTCGAGGTGCTAACGGTTTTCGCGAGACTGCACATCACGGATTTCGGTGAGTCAGGAATCTATGCGCGATATGCCAAGACTCTCATCTTCAAGGCAGAAGATATTCGAAGAAAAATATAAAGGAGAAGAAAATGTGAAAATTTAATGTTTCTTAAGCGCGAAATGGTCACATAACATTTATAGTATTGAAGATGTTTTTTTCGATGTTTTTCAGCAAACCACAATTATCGCGAGTATCGGCAGTGCGTGGGTTGGCTTTGCGATCTGATTGTGTGGCAGAGCCATCGACCTGCCAAAGATCATTCTAAGGAACTGCATTCTACGATCGTCGCCGCATTCGGCTGTCTCACCGTCTGGCTGGCCGAACACGCGGGACTCTTCTGCGATCAGGACACGATACACACAGTTATGGAAGTCATCGAACTGGGTATATCGGGCAGCAAAAGTCAGGCCAAATCAACAGACATTCCACAGCTCAAACAAAACAAAGAACGGAAACCGCTTTCGAAAAGAGTCCTGCAAGCTGCCGAGGCGGTTCTGTCCGCCTTGATGGACCACGTGGGTTACTTCCCCAACGCAGCAGGACCCGAGTGTCCGGTGAGTTCGCTGCTCGACGAGCAGGCATTGCTCAAGGACCGGCCGAGCGCCAAGTTCCGTTACTTCTACACGCAGAGCCACGCGCTGATCGGTGTGCTCGAGGACCCGATCCACGCCCCGCCCACGAGCAATCCATCGTTGACGCTCCTCGTCCGTGCCCCTTTTGGACGGCACGTCTGGGCGATGCAGCTGAGCAACGTTCCACAGAGTAAACTGTCGCTCCTCAACCAAGCCCCCGCTCAACACCGGGGTCCTGCGCTGTTTCCGATGGTGCTACCTCGGTATCAACTCAGCTTGCCGAATAAGGATCAGCTGGCGAGCCTTCAGAAGAAATTGCCAGCCTATTTCCCTCCGAAAACTGCCGAGATCCCTCCGTGTGATATCGAGAAAACTATCATACCCGATCCATGGAACATGCCGGACAACACGATCAGCAGCAGTGAGTACCGGATCGGCCATGTGATTCTGCTTCCTCTCTCTCTGAACTTCTGCCCCAACGGATTCGTCTCCGATTCGTACCCCGGCGGAGAGAGCTCAATCAAAATTTCGTTGCAGATTTGTTGAGCATGGTCGAATCGCAAACGAAACTCGAGGCTTCCTGTAGACGCGAAGCGCTCCAGAGACCCACCAATAGGCCTTGCCGACCCCCGTCGAATCAGACATCATTCCAGACGGCGCGACTCTTCCTCATGCACTTCGGATTCTTGGCTCCGCACGAGGGATCGGTCAAGGTGAGCTATTGGCGTTCCCCGGCTTCCGCACATTCCGAATTCAATGTTGTGGGGACTCTCGATTTCGAATCGAATCTAGAGCGCAAACTGACCAAGAAACGGCTTTCAGCCTTCACAATCACTGCTCCCGATGCCGAATAGCGACGAGCTCTCGAAACAACTGATGTCTCTCGATCAGCTGTCTGCGCGGACTGCTGACACCGTCCACATATTCTACATGAAGCGGGGTCAAACAGAGGCAAGGGAGATTCTGGAAAACGCCAAAAGTTCAAGTCGGGTGCATCCGCTCTACTTGGAATTCCTCCGAGCTCTGGGCTGGCCGGTCGACGTGGTCATGCACATAGGATGGACGGGGAACTTCGAAACCTCCTGGAAAATCTCGGGTGATATGGACTTGCGTAAGTCTCCTCTCTTAAGGAAGTCATGTCCCGAAATTGTGACCTCCGACAAAAATTCTGTCATTCTATCGGTGGATAGGGGGAGAATTCTTGATGGTTCTAGATTCGTTGTGTATGACAACGTTATGGTTGCAGTTGATCTTCCTTCGAATCATGGCGGCTCGCTGTATGACGGCACGCATCAAGTTCTCTACTGGGCGGATGTGCTTTCGGAGATGGCTTTCGTCGTACCCACACACCGAGAAGGCTCGCGGAGACCGTCGACTTCATCCCTGGATAAAACTCCATCCCCGCCGAAGGAAAGCTCCGAAGGCAAAACGCCCCCTGAGAAACCGCCAAGGTCCAACATGACGTTGAATCTCGACAAGTCCAAATCAGCCCCCCGATCCATCGTCCCCTCGACATTCGAGGTTAAAGGTCAGTCCCAGCTTAACGCCGTCCCTACCGACATTTGCGGGAAACGTCCACATCGGACGTGTCGGAATTCCACAGGATAATAATTATTGTGGGACTGGGTGAGCCTCCATTCTGAAGAACTCCGATTGCGGTTTCAGTTATGGTTGTCTGGTTGGAGAGCTTCGAAGACCACAGCAAATTCCCACTGGATCAGCTGCTTCCCTTCACCGACACGGGAATGTCGAACTCTCAGAGAACGACGGACGTTCTGATTATCTTCGTCACCTTGCTTCAGAGCGGTTTGTTCCGTCTCAAGGTCGAAAGCAAAGCCGCGAATCGAGCGAATACTTCGCTGATCCCCGCGCTCGACGGTCTGATCGTCAGTCGTCGCACTTTGGGAAGCGTCGTCCGCAATATCGCGCTGAATCTCTGCAGGAGGAGACGTCTAGATGCTGACCCCGAGTCGTGAGTCCCTCTTCTCCGCGCCTTCCGAAAACGAAAATAGATTTAAGAGCATCGTCGGAGATTATTCCGCCGAGTCTTCCGATTCAGCTAGGAATTAATGTCCATGTTCCTTCCTCCCTCTCCCTCAGATGTCCAGCACCACACGTGAAGCGACGCGCCAAGATCCAGGAGATCGGCACAAAATTCAGCGAGGAACTTCCTTCGGCGGAGTTCTACTCATCGCTTTTCGAACGCCATCAGACAGCCGCGGTGGAGACTTCGTGATTCTAGAACATTCCTGTGAAGGTGTTATCTTAGAGAAATTCTCTTTTCAGAGGCCGAGCCTCAGGGTCACGCCGTGCGTGCCAAAGTACTTACGTGTTGTTGACGTGAGAACAATGCAATCTTGAACAAAGTAGATGCGAACGACGCGCTCCAGTGAATAATGTCACAAGATATGATGAGAAAAAAATGTACGTGCAATATGGGAAACAGGAAAAGCAATTATTATTCCGCGAGAATGAGGTGCAAATGACGACTAGAGAGAGGTTTGGCGATGGGATACGAGAAGGGATATCGAGCGGCGACGGAGGGAGCGTGTGGGCGTCTTTCAACCTTTGCGGATTTCTTGTGGCAATTCTTTACATACGCCACGTTTACATACATGCAGCGGAGACGCCAACGGAAGACGAGCATTCATATGATAATTAATTTTCGCATACAGACATGAACGAATTATTACTCTATTGAAGTATGTATTCTATTTATTTAATAAAACCTCGATCAGACGTTTTGTACAAGTGCTAATGAATCATGAAATGCCGAGGAGCTCAGAGACTCTCGGAAGTCCCTTCGAAGAGAATTTAACCCGGTTCGCTAATCTGACTGTCTTCGACTTTCTTCTGGCCCGGAAAGTATACTTTGAAGCAGAAGTCGTTCTTGGTGAATTGACCCGGGTTCGTGAAAACACAGTCGTTTTGCTTTACGGTAAAAGCTTCGTGCTTATCACCGCAAACGACCAAGTCCGGCATCGGATACAACCAAAAACTATGATCCATCTGCCAGTAAATCGGGGCGAGGTGAATGGGTAAACAACACAGATGGGAGTTGCCGACCAAATTCTTCACGTACAGCTGAGCCATCGCAACATCACTATCCGTGTCCCACGGTACGTAGATACTGTTTCGGCACATTTTCGATACGACATCTTCCCGGAACAAAACGATCTCCTGGCTGTACAGCTGGATGCGCGCAGGGTTGCTGGTGAAAACGGTTTTCGGAAGCTTTGAGCTGAAGGCCTCGGTGATCGCCGTCGGCAGGGGGGGTCGGGGGAGAATTTTGCTCACGAGCGGATCGCGACTCCCGGGGACGAAAATGAACCTGGATCGCTCGACGACGGCTGGGAACTGCAGTATGAGATCGGCGAGCTGTTTGAAACAATCTTTGAGGGTCACGATGTCGGCAAACCCCAAAGAATCTCGGAGGAAGTTCCCCATCATCACGAAAGCTAAAGGAGGACATTGATTGTATCCTTCGAAAAGTATCTTCAGTCGCTCCATCGTCCTCACGTCATCCAGCCAAACATCCGATAGGAACACGATCATCGAATCGTCGAGCTGCTGCTCCATTTCCCTGACGGCGGCGTCGGTCTTCATACACTTCAGAGAGTCTCCTCCGAAATAATTGACGGACCCGAAAAATTCCCGACTGATCGAAGCCGCTTCGGCCGGCGCGAACCCGATAGCCTGCACGTTGAATATCTTGTCGTCGTACGTCCCTTCTGCCAAGACGATGCTTCCCTCGGTGATGAGCGCCTCGGGGAAATTAGCCTTGGAAAGGTTCAACGATACGCATCCAGTCGGGTCCTCAAGACTGAGTTTGCCTTCCTTCAGCTGCGTGATCATCCCGAGAACGACCACGAATTTGTTGTCCGTCTTCGCCATTCCCATGAGGCTTTCGCACGTGCACAGTTTGTAGTGTTCCGCCTGTGTCGACGAGAGCAACGACGCGGCCGACGGGGGAGCGAACAATCTGTGCCTGAGAGTTCGCTGGTGAACGACCTTGTAGCGCTCCTGGTACAGATCTGCCTTGGCGTCGGCGTCCGGGAACAGGATCCGCTTCGTTTCGACCTTGAGAAACTTCTTCCGATCGTTGTTGTAGGTGAACGCGGGGACTTCAAAAGCGCTGATGACTTTGAAAACTTGATGTTGTTGTTCGTCGGGCAGCGAAGAACATTCCTTGATACACTTCACGATCAGATCCTTGGTGATCAGAGCGGATTCCAAGGATTGATTCTGGAACCATTCGATCATTTGTTGGATCCATTCCCGTTGGGGTTCGGTTTCCAGTTGACCAAGCATCTGCTCGAGGTACTGACTCGCCTCTTTCCGCAGGGTCAAGCCCTGGACTTGGAAGGTGTTGAGGATCTTCGATTTCAGACGAGAGGCCATCTGCGTGGAGAGAGGGAGAAGTACAGAATAAGGAGTGAGATTCTTTCCCCCACGACAAGCGATATCCATCGTTAATCATCATTATTAGCATCTGCTGGTGAGCGTGAATCCAGACGAAACGCTCTGAGTACACCCCAAGGGACGACACTCAGAGTCTGCTCCACCCAGCAGCTCTTCGGTTCCGAACGGGGATCGCTCCCACATTAGACTTGAGAGGCTAGGAGACCCATGAAGGGTGCTCCACTCTGAATAAGCCCTGTGTATCCATTTATTCAGTCGCATCGAATATGAAGCGCGCCACACGCTTCCAAAAACTTCAGGAGACCTTCGACACCTGCACGTTTTCCATCCGAACCCAAATCTATCGTTCGAAGACTTCCGCTTCAGTCAGTTCAACTGTGAAGCCAGTGTTCAACTCTTGAGCTAGCGACCGAACTCGAGAGGTTTCTTGGAGTTAAGCAAACCCCGGATTCGGTTCGATCTTCACACGTTCCCCTCCTTGCCTCTACTTACTCTTATTTTCTCGGAGGGGGGCTTTCACTACTTCAACTGGTCGGAAACAATTCCAGGCGAATGCAGCGCTTTACCAAAATCACAGCCACCGCATGACTACACCGCAACTCCGAACACGGGCACTTCGACCAATTCCCATATCGAGGGCCTCGAAGTCGGAGAAATAGTCAAAGTTCTCGATACCAAAAACATATGTTTTTTGGACCCACACGAAACTTTGATTGGCGCCAAAATCCTCATACCAGAAACGCGCCAACAGGTCACGGTGGTTTCTGGTGTGCGAGGAGGAACGACGAAGAGGGAAAAAATTATCAACTGTATCTCATCCATTCGTGGCAACAATGAGCGTAGTCCGATAGGTTTTTCGATATCCTCAACTCGGAAGAATTATGAGGATTCTGCTCGGTTCCGTCAGACGTTACCTCTCTTTCTCTTCGCGCAGCTTTTCTGCGAGAAGTGGCGATGAGGTTCGCTTGGAGCAATTGAAGGGTGATCATGAGGGGATCGCGTATCTCACGATGCACAGACCGGAGGCGAAGAATGCCCTGAGTCGCAACTTTGTGGGTCAACTCGAAAAATGTCTACAGGATCTCAGGACGAAGAAAGAGGTCCGCGTCCTCATAATGCGCTCCACAGTACCCGGAGTTTTCTGCGCCGGGGCTGATCTCAAGGAACGGTGAGCTCATCTATCACTTGCAAGGAATCTTCGGCATGGGATCTCGTCCTGATTCTTGTTTGAATTTCGTTGTTTGCACCGGGGATCCGAATCGCGAATTGGTACTCGCAATCCGAATGCCTTCGCCGGCGGGACATCCGAAGAGCAATGAGGCTGAGAAATTCTTAAAGAGTGAATGTCGAGAATTTCACTTCCAGTCGGAAAATGAATGAATCCGATGTGGAAGGTTTCGTTGAGCGTTTGCGGAACGCGGCATCCGCGATCGAAGATCTGCCGATGCCTACGATCGCAGCTCTCGACGGTGCGGCTCTTGGTGGCGGCTTGGAGATGGCTCTCGCATGCGACATCAGAGTCGCGTCGAAAACCGCGAAACTAGGTCTCGTGGAAACCAAGTTGGCAGTGATTCCAGGCGCAGGAGGAACGCAGAGACTTCCCCGAATCGTTGGTTCGTAGTTTCGAGGGCTTCGGAGACAGACCGGTATCACATGAAGTTTCCGAGACTTGACTGATATCTCTCATTTCCAATCGCAGGACCTGTGATCGCGAAGGAGCTCATCCTGACGGCTCGGGTTCTGAATGGCGCTCAAGCGCAGGAAATCGGTCTAGTCAATCACGTCGCCGATGACGGTCAGACTGTCGAAAATTTAGCGCTGAAGATCGCGTCTGAGATCCTCCCAAACGGACCCGTAGCGCTCAGAATGGCCAAACTTGCCATAAACAAAGGCATGCAAGTATCGTTGAGTGATGGGCTAGCTTTCGAAAAGAGTTACTACGCACAAATTATCAACACGAAGGACCGTATAGAAGGACTTTCAGCTTTCGCGGAGAAGCGAAAACCAGCATACAAAGGAGAATAAGTTCTCCCAGACACGGATTCTTTCTATAATAAACGAATGACTTGAAAGTGGAAAGCAGGTACTGCTTCGCTCCGGCTCACTTTCAAGCCCTGATCTGCGCGCTCCGATCTCAACGATCGAAAAAGGCTCGAAGCTCATCATCGGGGTGCGAACAGAAAAACCGGATCTTCATTATCTTGTCTTTTTCAGCGGAAATTATCCTGGCTCGTCCCACTGCCCGGAACTTCAGATGGAATCGACAGTATAGGTACGCGATATTATACGTGGACGGTAAACGTCAAATGTGACGCATAGCATCTTCGGCGCCAAGCATGTCGATAGAGCAAGTCTGACAGATTATCGTCATGATCGCCTTCAGCCTGCCTTGTGCCTGCGCTAGAGAAACGCTAGATAACCGCGAAGGAACTTTCAGTTACTCTTGGAGGATCCAGCCTGCGAATTATTGTCCCCCGATTTTCGGTTGCCCAGAAGGCAACAGGCTGCGCGGAGCCAGACTTCAAGTTCTCAAATCTTGGAATGGGCTTTCACTAGGGGCTGAACCCGAGTAACGATCACAATCGTTTTTTCCTAGGAGAGCTTCTTCCTTTTGTTGATCCCCCTCCATCCATGCTTCTGAATTCGAGCACACGTCTCGCGACGTATTTTTGATTCCTCCGCTCCATTCCTCCCTTGAGGCTCATTCTCGTTCCCCAGTACGAATGCTCGTTGCCAAAGAATGCTGCCGGACTGTCCCTTCATTCCAATGATCGCGATCGCCGCGGTCAAGCTTGTAACCTCTGCTGCTGATCTGAGCTCTTGGTAGACATCGAATGGGCTCGGTCGGCGTCGAACATGCGGCGATAATCCCTTGAACTAAATCTTTTAGCGAGCGGCCCCGACCTTGAGATACTATAAGCGACTGCTCAATCTGGGACACATGGAGACGGCTCTGTTCTCGTCCAACACAGAGAACACATACCCTCCTCCTCCTTCCTTTTCCACCGTCTTCAGTATTGCGTAAGCCCCGGCTGGCCCTCGCAGTGTTCGTGCTCTCGACCCTCTCTCAAGAGCTGAGTCACACCACGACCCGGCGAACTCCGGCGGCGGCGTGCTCGGCACGCCATACCGCACTCGAGTTCTGCGACGACACGCCGAGGTTACCTCGCGGATTCATGGCTCTGAGATTCATCATAGGATTGCAGCGGGAAAAGAGTCTGATGTTTTCTGAACACCGACAAGATAATTGGGCGTCCTGAACGGGGGAGTCTCTCACTGGTCCGAACCTCCGACGTCGCATGTGCCCGTGGAGGCCCTGTGACGACTCCGCACATCCCACTTGGCGCATGCCGACAAAAAAAACGAGGTCAGAGAAGTTCTAACCTCCCGCACGAGTTTCGACACGAGCTCGGTGAGGACGGCGTACTCCCTCGACGTCGTGAGGCTCGAGAATGGTGTTGCCCTAGCTCTTCCGACCAGTAGACCCCGGCCATTTATTCGTGGATCCCCACCTCTCGGATCTCGCTTTGGCCCAAGGAAAGCCGAGGACCGCCGACAGGTCCGTATGGAGTTCTCTCGTGAGCACCGCTGAAAAACATGCGGGGGAAGGAATACGAGGATGTTTTTAAAAATCAGGGGGAGTTTGGGCAGTGCGCGGTGGATCCGCTCGGCTTATTGCATCGATCCCAGAATCGACGAGGGAAACGAAATGTGGTTCAAGACGGCCCGGATGATGGATCTCGAAATAGGGCGGTTTTCGCCGACCGAGAACAAAAATAGGCCCTATTCCCGTGACATGGACCCTCGGGTAGCGCAACTCGATGCTCATTGTCAGGATAAATCCGTGGATTTTTTGCGTAGCAAGATCAGTTGACGGACTCGATATCCTTCTGTATGCGTCTCGAGGAAGCAGAATTCACATGGGGGGCATCGCGGGGAACACCGGAAACCGGCGGGAACATCCCATTCTGTTCGGATGAATTTCGTTGGAAACTTTCAAAGATACGCCTATTCATTCTCATTGTGCAGTCGGGCGGATGCTCCACAGACTGTTTGAGGACATAGAGTTTCGAAGGCTTCACGCAAACACGGCCGCTGCTTAGCCAACGAGAACGAATCATGACAGCCCGGAGCGTGGCTCTCCGAGACGCTATTCTCCATATCGTCCACAACGAATAGGGACGCACCTCGGGAGAGATATCATCGTTAGGCCCGTTGCGGGTGAGGAAACTTCTCTTTTCAATTGATTCACGGTTCGTATCCTCAGCAAGCCAACAGAAAACAGCAGAAACTCCCGGATTGGCACCGAGCGTCAGCCACCAAGGTCCATAATCTGGTGCACCATTCTGATACATTTTCAGTAATCATCATTATAGGCATTAGTTCCGGCCTGATGACTAGACTTAATTAATTTTTGATAATCATTCCCGGGACTCTGAATCGGTCCTTTCGCGGATAATTATGGAGCCCCCGAGAATCCTGATTGCGACAATCGAGGGGCGGATATTTGTACCAGCCACGGAGCGCCTAGCTCATCGAAAGCTGGACCGATAATATTTTTGTATTCTGAGTTCTCAGTGTAGCAGTTCGCGTTTCGACCCTTTACCAATATTCGACTGCGAACAGCATAAGACACAAGGGGCAGCGGTAATCCATTCGGCGTGATTGAGGAAACGCGTCGTCCACGCACTTGCTCGGGTACTTCCACGAGTTTCGTCCCAGGGAACATAGAGTCGCTCGGTCTCATGATGTTTTGTTGTCGATCTCACATTCCACTTCGACAGTGTGACATTTGGCCAATCGAACTGTGGACGCTTGGGAAGTGAAATCGAACATACCGTCGGAGTCGCTAATAAGAGACCCCTCGGGGAATGCCAAAAAGTCTCTTATGGCGAGAAGTCACAGTTATGCCTACAATTTCGACGCTCACGCCTCTTCTCGCTCTCGGTGCAGGAGAATGAACACTGATTCTCGAGCTACGCCATTGTGTTTTCGGAGGCAATAGCTTCAGCTGACGGGAGGGACTCGGATGTGGATTTCGAGAGAGTTCAGCAGTTGAATTTTCTCCCTTGTAAAACAGTTTGGTTCGTGACATATTGGAGAGTATCGAAACCCGGGAATATCGACCCCCTAACGGATTCAAAATCCAGTTGCCGCGTTTTTCGGAAACTGTAGCCACTTGCGGAAACCACCTCTCAATTTAATCGACCAAAACTGTCGGACTGGGAAGAAATCGCTCTGGAATCAGCATTATTTCTGGTCTCTGACGCACGAGGTTTCCAGTACCGGGTCCTGTAGGAGCGGGATCTGCGATGAGTCTTCCTTGAGGCGGAAGCGTCTTATAGGCTACTCGCTCACACACGAAGCTCTCAGCATGGGAGCAAATAGGCGCAGAAAACGGGAATCGAGATCGGTCTCTTATACGCGAGTCTCTCATAGGCGGCGCGGTGCCGGTGTGGACTCTTTAATCAACTATGGATAGAGAGCCGAATGTGGAGTTTGTAATGGCAAATCTCGCGTTCTATTTCGATCAGCATGAATCTTCAAAAAACCAAGCGAATCTACAAAATGAGGGAGATGATTCCGAGGACGGAATCCCCGCCGTGTGCTTCTCTCCCGCTTTGTCTAGGGTGCCGGAATTCTTTCCCGACGTTCAGAGGGGCATTCAACCCTTCTGGATAAGTTTCCGATGCAGCTCCTACCGAGCGGCGAGCGACGATGAGGCAGGCCGGGCAGCTACGGTAAACGCTACTGTCTCACTCAGTGCGCTCGGCTCGCTAGCTGGTTCGACGCTGCCAACATTTATCCAGTACATTGACCTCGTACGTCGTCCTTTCAGTGGTTTCGATAGCGTCGATGATGTTCGAGCTCATCATGCGCCTGCCGTTCGACGGTGCGCCGCGACGTTGCGGTCGATGGCTGCTCGAGCCTCCCTTAACGACGGAAACGGCGGCGGCAACAGCCAGCCTCAGTTTGCCCTTGCATCCTCGCCCCGTGATCGTCCCCACCAGGGCCCAGCTCTGCTGTTTGAATTTTGGCGCGCCGCCGCCGAGGCGCTGCCCCTCACCAATCGGGTATCGTGGCGGCCGCCTCGTTCGCCGCTGCTTACAGCGGAATCCCGTAGGTTCTCGCCGATTCTCGCGAGAGTCGCGGAGGCCGAGTTTGTCAGTCAGTCAAGCAAGCGAGAAGGCAGCCGAGACATTTGGTTGGTTGCTGGCGTTGTGTAGAGCGAGCTGGTGTGCAGGCAGCAGCAGCAGCATTGTGAAGCTGGACACATAGACATTGCTGGCTCGACTTAATTGTTGAACGTGAAAGCTCGAGGCGATCGAGCGGGTCGGCCAGCTCGAATATCCTCATCAAATTGTGCGCCACTGTAACAACTCGAAGAGTTGTGTGAACCGAAACGCCTGATTCGCCGGAAAGGTAAATTTCCACTGCCCGTAGCCGAATTTGCACCCTGAGCGACGCACGCCAATCCGGGCCGCACATTTCCCGATTCGATGCAGGGGCAAAACCTGTGCTTTCCGGAACGTGGTCCGCTGAAGGATCGATGCGATTCTTTCGTCGAGGCCCAGTGCTTGCATGAGCAGGCACGAGAGGAGGCCATGTCGGATTCGGATCATGCTTTGAGTTTAGTCCTAGCGCCCGGGGAGTTCCATTCGAGATGCCCGATCCTACGATTCGGCGGAATTTACGGCTCCGAGGCTGCAAGTTCTGCAATGGGGCTTTCCGTGCTGATAACGAATATCGCTCGGCGAAAAACGCGCATTTCCGATCGATGTCCAAAATAGGCCACGACGCATTAGAAACGCCTCCGAGCGTTCCGTACACCAGAGGTTCCGAGAAATTCGAGCCTCGGAGAAACCAGCTTCGATGGGGTGAGCTTCGCAGAAACTTCTCGATTTCAAGGTTGCTTTGCGTGAGCGTTTCATCGAGAGAGGAAGCTCCGGGCCCGAGTCAGAACTCGTGCCGCTGAAGCGGGCTCTATGCAGCTCTGCCTGCCCGGTTTCGTTCGGGGCGACGGGCTCAATTCGAACCGCAGGGATCTCGAATCTTGTGCACGGAGCGAGAGCCCCGAGAAACTTTGGCTCATTGCTGCATGCTTGATCCGATTCGGAGTGCTACCGACGCAGTAGCCGCGAACTTCGCAGGAATCGTGGGCGCTCGTTCTAGGAGTTTCCCATGACGTAAAAGCTTCCTAGAGGAGGGAGGGAAGGTCTCTTTCTCTGAGGGTCCGGGCTCCGATGGATTCGGGCACACTGCCAGCAGCAATCTCTTGGGTGATCCGGACGATTCTCCGAAGCCAATCGAATAGTAGCTACGGAATTTTCCTCAAGGTAACTCTTTTATCCGCAAGGCCTCGATGATTTCTGGTGTAATTTCGTTCAGCAACGTGATAGCGAAACTCCCGAATCTCGGGCTCGCTTCCGAGCGGTCGCTGTTACGTACGCAATCCGCTGCTCCGATTAGGCCTCGAACTTGTGGACTTGTCGTCGAGTTGCATGGCAGCAGAGAGACCTACCTTCGAACTGTGTGATTTCATGCTGGCTCAAGTGCGTGGCGCACCCTTGACTCATTCGATTCTCGGATTACATTCTCGAGCTGCTGTGGTCGAGATCGTTATGGTTCTTTTTTGATCATTGTCCGAACGTTCTGTTCCGAGTCGAGTGCGGGACGACACCAACAACACGGATGATCGGCGTTTTTCCTGGTGAATCGCCGTCCGCGATCAAGCGAACCCTTCTACCGGAATTGCTAGGAGTAGATGGATTTTTTTATAACGCGATTTCGGAGTCGTCGGTAGTGCAGCGGCCGAGCGCCGAATAAATCATTACGATTCCGCATGAAATTGCACTCCGATCGCTCATCCGGATCGACTCTCGAAACACGTGTTTATACGACCGCTATTGCAGTGTGGAATCTATTCATCTCCTGCAATGGCTGCATCCGAGTCGAGCTGTGCTTGTTACGATCGTCAGCTAGTCATCCGTTCACTCGGTTGTCGATGTTTCTCGATGGTTGAATTCCATCAGGCCATGCTGGCGAGCTGTTCGATCGCAGCTCTCACAGATGAACAAAGAGAGGACTGCGGCGAGCGGCGGCCTTGCCAACTTGAGCTGCGGTGCTCCTCAAATTGTTGTCGCCGTAACGACGGCTTCGCTCTACCAAAAAAAAATAGAAGTCGACGGAAAGAGAGGCACCGAAAACTTCTCAGCGAAGAATGCTGTGGAAGCCGGTTCGAAAACTGCGGAAGTTTCTGCTTACTCATTCACTCACTCGCTCACTACTTCGGTCGGCTGGCTGGCTGGCTGGTTGCTTCGTTGGTCGCTTGCCCGGTTGACGCACTGGCTCGGTGGCTGGTTGGATCTTCCATAGATCGACGTCACGCGGCGTCTCCTGTTCCGCCGCCGCAGAAACATCAGAAGATGTAGAAGGGACAGAAATGGGTTACACGGCCAATGCGTTTGCCGGTTGTTGCGACGTTGCGCTTTCGCCACCACGTCGTTCGTCCTAAGCGGATTTAGTGCTCCATGGCACGGAGATTTCCAGGCAAGACGTGGGCCTGAAATTCCAGTATACGCGGCTCTGCGTACCCTGATCCATTCGGCTCAGCTTCGGTCGAAGTCGAGACCACGCCGCGTTGCTCATGCTTCGCCTTAATTTTTCTTCTCAAGCGTCCACACTGAATTCATGAGAGGTTTTTTCTTTTTCAGTCCCAAGCTTCCGCGAAGAAACAGATCGTTGTCCAAATCTGAAAAATCGTTCGGCGGTGGGAAGGGTTGGCGTTTTGTCCCCGTAAGTTCTACCCAGCGTCACCATAGTAGTGGAAACGGAAGGCAGGGCGTCGTCCTGCCTGCTCTTCGGGGCCGGACTGACCACTGCAAATCATCACGTTCAGAAGGGCTACGGTTCAGCACAAAGCTCGTACCGGCACCAAATCCAAACTGGCACTCCAAACGGAAACTCGCCCGCTAGGACTTCAGTTCCTCAGCAGCATCAACAACAACAACTTATTTCGCCCTCAAACCATCATAACAACTACAAACAACAACAACAACTCCAACAACACCATCACCAACAGCATCACCACCATCAACAGCATCACCACCGCGAGCGGGATCCTGAAAATGGCCGAAATGCAGGACAACATAGAAGGCAGCAGCAGACTTCACATCCAGCCAACCAGAGAGGCACTTCTCCAAGCCAGCAACAACACTCCTTCGTAACCAATGGAATCGCGACGTCCTCGAACATTATCAGCAGCAACCACAATAACAATCTTAACGGCAGCAGCAGCAACAGCAGTCAGATCAGCAGCAACGGTGCCAACAACGGTGCTCAGCAGCTCAACAGCCACCAATCGCAGCAGGCCGCTCCATCTGCGAGTTCCCAGACAGCGAGCGCGGGTGGTCCGCGACCATTCAAGCCCAGTCTTGGGATCTCGGGTCTCATCACCCCGTCGGGTCAGGACCAGGAGCAGGCGAACCTCGTATTCCGTAAAGTTCGAGGAATCCTCAATAAACTCACTCCGGAAAACTTCGAGAAGCTCTCCCGCGATCTTTTGAATGTCGGCCTCGACTCCACCCATGTGAGTTCAGATCTTCTGTTTCTGTTTCCTTTGGACCCCGTGGGAGACTCCGTCTCCCTCATGAGGGTTTCCGGGATTCCTTCCCTGGAGTTCCGATAGCCATCACCACCCCCTTGATCGTCTCTCTCTGGGCCTTCGTTGTCCTCGCTCTATGATCACCTCTTGGCGGGCACTCGCTCGCTCGGTCGGTCGGTTGGTCGACGGAGGCTGCCTCCTCATTAGCGTTTGAGGTCGTAGAGACCTGTTGTTAATAAAAATTTGAGAAGAAACATCAGTTCGTAATCAACGGAGCTTCCAAGCGTAGACGAACGGGTCTCGGTGAGCAGCGAGCTCGGTGGTTGCTTGCTCTGCTAGCATTGGCCGCACAATTAGCAGAGTCGGTTTGGCCTCGGCCGCGCGATGATGAGAGCGGTCTCTCTCCTTCGATGATTGCTCGAGCCCGAACGGAAGGCTCTTCGCGGAAAAAAAACCTTGGAGGGTGAAGCCCGGCTCTACTTCCGATTCCGAACATCGTCGTCCGAGTTGATAATCGGCAGAAGCGAGCTTGGGAAATAATTACGTAGCCTTTCCGAACTCACGTAGATTTTCTTCTGTTGCAGGTTCTTAAAGGTGTGATCTTGCTGATCTTTGAAAAAGCTCTCGATGAAGCCAAGTACAGTTTGATGTACGCGTCCCTATGTAGGACTTTATGCGAACACGCTCCCAACTTCGATCCGCCTCCCGCTAACACGTTCCGGCGATTGCTTCTCGCCAAGTGTCAAGATGAATTCGACAACCGGAAGAAAGCATTGCACGATGCGCCGCCGAACAGTGAACAGAGGACGATTGCAAAGCAGAAAATGCTGGGGAACATGCGGCTCATCGGAGAGCTCGGGAAGCAGGGACTGCTGCACGAGAAGATCCTCCACGAATGCCTCCAGACGTTGCTTAAAGGCAAGAAGCAGGAGGACGTCGACCTCGAATGCCTCTGCCACATGGTCCGAACCGTCGGTGCTCGTCTTGACACCCCCAAGGGCCGCGCTCTGGTCGACCAGTACTTTGAGAGGATGGTCAAGCTATATAATCAGGAAGGCATCGCTGCACGAATCAAGTTTATGCTGCAGGACGTGTGCGAGCTGAGAAAAGATAATTGGATGCCCCGTAGACGGGCAGCAGTTGGAAATCTTCAGCAACCGACCACTATGGCCCACATTCGGAACCAAGTGATGCCGCAGATACCTCAGCGACACTCTCAGAATGGTCACCATCCCGGCCAAGATCACCATAGAGGCGGAGGACCTGGCTCTCTCGGTCGGCGAGACAACAACAACGACGACATCTTCAACAGTAGTCCAGTTACTTCGATGAAAAAAGGCGGTGGCCACGACTCTCCAGGATCGAACGATTTTCTCAACTTCCTCGATCCGAAACCGGTCATGGCCCGTGACAATCGTGACGGCTCTGTCACCGCTGGTGACAATCGCAACCGCCACCATTCGAACCGCTTCAGCAACGGACATCATCGAGACCACCCTTTCAACAGCAATCAGAGAAACAACGGAGGCCACAACGGAACTCATGGAGGTGGAAACATGGCCATGCAGCTCCCTCTACGACTTCTCAAAAAATCGCTTCCTCAGCATCTAGATGAGATCAACCTGCGTCCCCATAACGCTCCGCCTTCGCTGCTCAAGCCGAAAACGATGCCTCCTCCCGGAGCTCAGCTCGCGCAAAACAACGCTATGATCCATTCGTCCACAACGCCGACCTTGCAGGCCGTCTCTGTGAAGCCGACCGTTGCGACGACTCCCATTCCGGTGAAGACGGATCCCAAGCCGAAAGCTGCTTCGAAGACTGAATACCAGGACAAAGTTACTCAACTCATCCAGGACAATGCCGCAAAGGAAGCGCCGGAGGACATGAATGCAGTCTGCGAAGAATTCGCCAAGCTGGAAATCCCCAAGAAGTGAGTTCGCGCCCCGCATTCCTTCTCTCACACGTATCGGTCTATTTTCTGGTTTTGGGCTTCGACGTCCAGGAAGAATTATTTTATTCATGGCTTTTTTTTCTCTTGATTCCTCTTCTGACTACTTCCTCGACACATTGCGGAATCCCTCCTTCCCTCGCGAGGGAGAGATTCCGTACGAATCTGGAGATTTTTCCCGACGTCGTCTGGATGCGGAGGGAGCCGCTCGATCAGAGTCTCTAACGATAATTTTTCTTCCCGTCGCAGGTTTGTGAACGACATTCTTGTTGCTTCGGTGTTGGACGCCTTGAAGCAGGAGTCGGCCTCCACGGACATCTTGGAACAGTTGGTGATCCGATTTGCTCCGAACGGAATCCCCGACACTTTGTCGGCCGTTCTCCGCAAGCTGCCCTCTGGCGAAGCTGCAGCGAAAAAGGCAGCACAACTCGTAGCCAGTCTCATCATGAAGGACGTGCTCGAATTCAGCGACGCATGCCAATGGACCGACGTTGCTAGCGGCGATGACAACATCCCTTGGATTATAACCGTTCTTAAACTTCTCCTCGAGCAGGAATCCGAAGACAAGCTAATCCAGCGTTCGAAAGGCGTCAACCTTATGCCGCACTTGGCAGCCAACGAACGCAACAAGGACGGCTTGGCGAACATGTTGGACCGACACGGTCTCAACTGTCTCCAGCCGCTGAACATCCGACTCGACAAACAGCTCGTGCAACACCTCCCGTCGGCCGACGCTCTTCGAAACTTCATAGACACGAAGCTGGACGACGCGACCAAACAGAGCCCGGAATTCGTTCTGGCTCTCGTGACGGCCGTCATGAGGTTCGCTTACAATGCATCCCAGGAGAAAGAGGAAGAAGAAGCTGCCTTAGAACCATTCAAAAACCTGCTACGCAAATACTGCGCCAAACGGAACGGAATGTGGGCGTTGTACGCTGTTCAAGAGCTTTGGGCTAAGACAGGCTACCCCAATAACGTTCTTCTCCGCTGGTTTATGTTCTTCTACAAGGAGGATGTTGTCGATGAGGTCGAATTCTGCAGGTGGAAGGAAGACGTCAACGACCAATTCGCCGGAAAAGGGAAAGGCCTTTTCGAGGTCAACAAATGGCTGAACTGGCTGCAAGAAGCCGATGAAGAGGAGGACGAAGCTGACGAGTAGTAGACGACGACGACGACGACGATTCTAATCGAGAACGACGGTTCAGACTCTGAGTTGAAAACACTAAAACACGCGTTCAGAGTTAGGTGAGGAGGTGAAGAGAGAAAGCGGATAGAGAAAATCCAATGTTGAAGAAATCGATCAGTGACTGAGTTCCCTGAGAAGGTGAAGGAGTTCAACGATTGGCACCCTGACGTGGGGAGGATCGATCGCCGATTTTCAAGGTGGAGAAGCTCCGTGGACGATTCGACTTCGTGGAGGAGGTACACTACCGATACCATGACGCGGAGGAGTTCATAAATCGTGAGAAATGAGGTGAAGATGACATCGGCTCCATTGCCAAATGGAGGAATTCCGCAGAGCCGATACACAAGGCTTGGTGGGGTTCTCGTGCCGATACTGCGATGTGGAAATGTTCGAGCCCACTGCATGCGCAAGTTATAAACAAGACGGAGCAGGAGCGAGAACAGAAAAAAATTGCTAAAATCGTCTTAGGAAATAATGCAACGGTTTTCGGTCGTATTTCCCTGCGAACTGAATACAGGTGGCATAGCCCGTTTTCACCGCGATTATTATAGCGAAGCGAAAGGAGCGACCTTGCGAGGAAACGATCGGTTCGATTTCGTCTGACTCGCATCGAAGCTGGGCCGGGCGTTTACGTTGGTGGTGGTGGTGAAAGGTGCCCAGCGCGGGGAAACTTTGTCGGACCGATCGGGAACTCTAGATTTTCTCCCTTTCGATTTAAACTTCGAATCGATTCACTCTGAATTGATGCAACCGTAGTGTCGAGGTGCTGATTGCTGCTCGCCGGCAATCGGCAGGAACAGGGAAACTTCTTAAAAAACCTTCAACAACAAAAAAGGAAACGGAATTATCACAACTTTGAAAACGATTGTTAACAAAATCATCTGCATTGATGTCAGAGGACGCCGGCGATCACGTCGTGGAGTGAAAAAATTTGAATTGGAGTATCGATAATAATAAAACAACTGATTGATTTTTGTCACTTGAACTTCAGAAGTCTGCTCGTTTTTCTTGAAACTGTTCCGGACTCTCGTTTTTGGCCTCGGTCCGAATCGAATGAACTCCGGCCGACGATAAAGACAGATTTTCCCCCTCTCCCTGGAAACTCGCGATAATTAGCTCAGCCACGCAGACTGGAAACAGGCCCAGCTTAGAACTCGCCAGAGCTCTCACACTTGCAGACCCATATCTGATTCCGTGTACGATGCGATCTTTGGGGCCGCTTCGTGGATATACAGGAGATACCGTCTAGAGATCTTCAATGACGCTCTTGGCGGCCGTGTGATGAAATTCCCCGATCCGCCTGGAGGGGCTCAGGGAGTCTTCTGTAGAACTGTAGAGTTCCGAACACCGTCTCATCTGAGTAAATGAGGGATTCGGATAGATACACCCGATCTGGGAGAGGATTCCGCGCACAGGCTCTACCGGAGACTCGAACGCCTTCGCGGACTATCGAGAGGAAATCGAAGGAAACGTCCTTGCGCAACACGGTTCCCCTGAACATATTTATTCTGTTTTCATTTTTCACGGGCTCGTTCATCGGCTGGGAGAATCGTCGACACCGAAGATTCGAGCAGAAACAGCGAACTCTGATACAGCTGACACAATACTACTTTTCCTGACTCGAAAGGAAGGGGCAACTCCGAAATACAGCTCCCTGACGGCGTATCGGAAAATATACTGTAGGCACCGACTACCGTCGCGGGGCAATGGAGCGGTCGGGGAATCGAAGATATTCCATCTCCTGTTATCTGGCCTAGGGCAGCCCCAATCGAAATTCTCTCCCGAGAAGGCTGCAGAATTACAAATTCATTTACGCATTCCGAACGCGTGTCCTCGGGTTGGATCAATTATTATTATTCGTCCACGAGCACGTAGCGCCGTGTTCTCGGCTCCTTCCAGTAGTAGTACACGAGAGGAGGATCTGCAAGATGGAACAAGTCTCATCAGATTCAGGCTTGAACTAGTATGATATTCGAGAAGAGCCCCGTTCGTCCCTGTCAATTCATTCACTCATTTTAAACGCTGCCCCCTTTGCGAAAAGTTTGATGTGCTCTTTCATTCGACCAGGCCGTTCCTCAGAATCTCATTATTAGCGGGAGCGCGGGAACGCTTCCCTCTTGCATGCGGCATCGGACGCTGAAAACTCAATTTTTGCAGCCCGCTTCAGGTCCTAGAAAATTCTCAATTTTCCATCAGTGATCGTTTTGCTTGAAGAGTTCCCCGACTCAGCGGTCGGCGGAGGAAAGAAAGACGATGGCCGGCGACGGGACTCGAGTTGGGACAGGCGGAGGAGCTCTCCGGCCGGCCGACCGGCCGAAAGACTGACCGACCGACCAGTCGGGCCGTGGGGCGTCCAAACGAGACCGGAGTTGGGCTCGGGTGAAAAGACATTGTCGTTCGTTTTTGTGGTCCCAATCTCTTATGGAAATTTGCTTCGTCTCTTCGTCGGTCGGCAGGGGGAAAAGGAGCCGCATTCACCACCGTTTTTGAATGGATCCTCAGGAGATAGTGAGAATGGGGTAAAGGCTGCTGCTGCTGCTGCTGCACGCACGTCTCCATGACCCAGATTCGGAACACAACACTTATACTCGACCGGGCTCGCTCAGATACAAACTAGCTGGCGTGTTTCGAACGCCATTCACGTCCGCCCGCCTTAGTGCCCGCCTCCGGGCTCCGGCGCTTGAATGCGCCGGTCTCGACCCACGGCCTTGTGGATGCATCTTAACGATATGTATTATCAACTTATATGTAGTAACAGGCAGAAACTCAAGTACGGCATCACATTTGAATGAACGCCGAGTGTAATTACTTTATGAATAAGCCCCTCGCGAGAACACGTGCCCTTTCCCGCCCTCGGCGGAGAAACAAGTATGATAAGGGTGGTTCTCCTAGGATGCTTGCGAAGACTGAAAATACACTTGGCCTGCATCCGGCACGTTACGCGTTCCATTCTCTCTTCAATTAGCGTCTCCGGGGAAAGTGTTTAATTCATGCGAGATAATCAACTCACTTTGCGGATTCTCCTGAGGAATGGTTGCGACGAGGATTTTTTTCCCATCTATTAAACGCTGACGTCGCATCTGGATTTTACTAGTCTGCATAGCGATACCGACCGGTGCTGGGGGCAAGGGGAGAACTCCGGGAACTCCACGAATGCCTTCTTTCGGAACAATTACGGATGTACCATTAGGGAGCAGAACGCCCTCTGCCAGCCAGGTCGTTTCGGGTTCCACCTGCCAATCGATCCGATACGAAATGTCTGCAACGAGTCGGTTGGATTCAATGTCCGAAGCGCTTCCAGATACTAGGCACCGTGTCGAGAAATAAAATCGCAGAAAACAGAAGCGAGAGCGGAATATTTTCGACATTCTTTTTTTTCAAGAAAACTGTTCGGGAGTCGAAATTTTTCGCGAAACTCTCCAGTCTCAAGCAGAGAGCGGCGCTGAGCAGTCTAGCCTCGGGCACTCGCGGAGGATGGAGCCAGACGGGTAGTCATATGAACGTGATATTTATTCAGGTCGAAAAAGTGCGGATTCGGACGAATCGCGATGGCGAGCATTACCTGCATTGGAAAGTTTCCGCGTGCGACCTTGCGTCACCGTCTGATCAGAAGCTTTCCGGCGAGCTTCGGATTCCGCGGACGCGTTGATTATTTGCATCACCGAGCTGATGATGGTGTCGCTCTGCATTGCGTCCTCCCGACCCTGGGACGCCTCCTTCACTCCGACCGAATGCGGGATTTTTTCGAGGAGAACGTCCTCCTCGTTGACGATCCTCACCCTCGACGGGGATTCCGATACGTCGATAGCTTCCTTCGACGATTCCGTACTGCTCACGTCGATTATCGAACCGCGGAAAGCGTCGAGTACCGTGGAGGCCTTGTTAGCCGTGATGTCCGTATCGACAGCGATCGCGCTGCCGACGGGCGCTTTGACCCAGGAGCCTTCGCGCGGGCCGAGACCGGGCCGGCTCGATTCGCTCGTACTCGATTCGACAGCAACGGTGGCGTCAGTGGACGCGGCGGCTGATCCCGCGATCATTTGCTCCGTAACGGCATCGGCTCCGCTCTGAGTCACGTTCAGGAGATCCGACGACAACCTATACGTGTCATTACTGATTTGCAAGATCGTCGTCGGCACGTCGAGACGTTCGGTCGTGTTCGTCACGTCTTCGGGAGGCGTGTCTCGAGGCGAGTTAAACTTTTCGGCCAACACAGTGCTGCTTTCGGCCTGCGTTGTTGTCGGGGGCTCAGTACTCGTTGTTGTCGGGGGCTCAGTACTCGTTGTTGTCGGGGGCTCAGTACTCGTTGTTGTCGGAGGTTCAGTACTCGTTGTTGTTGAAATCGACGGTGTTGCGGTTGTCGTTATAGTCGTGGCTGTCGACGTCTCCGTCGGTACAACTGTTGTTGTTGACGTTGCTGTTGTAGTGTTGAGCACATTCATGATTTGTTCCTTATCGTTCGGATCCTCAACAATGAGGATGACACTGTTTGGTGGCATCGTCTGAATAAATGAATCCGAGATTTTCGAGTGCTGCGTTATGATCTCCTCGTGAGCGTTGAATGGTCTCGGGAATTTCGTTCCCTTCTCACTCCGCGAGGGGGACGTCGCGCTCTCCGACTCGATCACAGGTTCCTCGGACTCGGTTGAATTTGATGAATCGCCCGTGAGGGTCTTCGGATCTGCGGGTCGTTCACCGAGCGAAGTTGCGATTGATTGATTCGGGGAAATTTCGACAATGGCCGTACTCGGGCTAAGTACGGCTGCATAAAGCGTGCTTCCACCCAATTCGATTTTTTCCGTCGACGCCGATTCCGTTGAGCTCTGTTGCGCTGGAAATCCGTCCGTCTGGCTCATTCCATCGGTGGCGGAGCCTTCGACAGCTGCGGTTCCCGCCACGTCCCCGGCTAGGGTTTGGGTCTCGATGGTATCCCGCCGTGTCGTCACCTCGACGAGCCGGACGTTCGTCAGGTTGACATCTTTGCTCACGTCAATTGTGTTCGTGGACAAAACTGATGTTGGATCGGGCAGTTCGGTGGGCTGGAGCTTATTTCTCACTTCGCTTGACTCACTTATCAAATCGTCCTCGGTCGTCGGAACCTCGCCCTCCGCGCGGCCGGGTGGAGGGAGGTCGACGGTGCTTACCGATACGACGTCATCTGGGTTTGTCACGAAAGGAACGTCCACGAACATGGGCTTCCCCTCGGTAGCCGTCGAGTGGGGTCTCTGAGTTGCGTTGACGGCCACAGAAACCCACCACTTGTTGTTCGGCTCGTGAGATTTGGATGGAGTATTGATCTGTGGCTTGGAAGCCAGAACTTTATTCCACAGGATGCTTGGGTTTTCCGTCACTGGGGGTCTCAGAGCAGGTGGGGGGTAGTACGGAGCGACAAATGCAGGTTTGGGCATCGGAATTTCCGGGTTACCGACGATCTGGGGAGAGAATCATTGACTCATCAGAGAGGAGTAGCGTCGACAAGAACTTTCACCATGCTGGGAGTTTTGAGCCCAGAAAGCTATTATCCGATTGGGTTCTACGCGAGAGGAGCCCCGATTAGAGTCGGAGGCTCGGACTCGCCATAGCTAAATATTAAGAGCGACCCGATGTCAGAATTAAGGAGGGAGCCGGCAGTAGGTATGAGGATTGGAAATATTTCGAGCGCTTCATAAGCAGTCAGACCTAAATAATGCTTGACGCAAGGTCGAGCGTGCCACTTCACCGAACGGTAGGCGGGTTTCAACCCGGCTCGCAATTTCAAGATCAGCCCGCACCGCCTGTCTGAAGGATCGCAAGGAGCCTAAGCGACGCTCGTATCGGGAACGAGGCTCCCCGGGAGGGCAATGAGCGTTGTTCTCACAGAAGACCAAGACATCGCAGAAGCTGCAATCGCTGAATGAGGGAGGGGGTGGGGGGTTTACAAGGAGATGCGCGGGGTTTTAACGGTGAAAATCGGGACCCGCTGCTGGAGAGCGATTTTTCTCGGAGCACGTCGTCGTAAGCGGAAGACACGCGAGAGCTCGACAATAATTATTTTCCCTAAGCGGACGCCAAGGAGCGATCCGAGGGTGCCACGGAGTGAAGCTTTTTCGCTCACTGAGACAATATGTCGAGTGATACGTTTTCCGAGATCCCCAACAACGTGGGATTCAAAACGGAGCGACAACCCTGGTCAGCGCCGGGGGCATGGGCATTCACGAGCGGAGCTTAAATGTCGAATAATAACAAAGGATGTTCTAATGTCCCCGGGAATCGATCGGGAGCAGAGAATTCTACTTCTCGGTTAGGAATTGCGGTGTTCTCAGCCTGGACTCTAAAGCTCAAATTGTTCCCCCTGACGCAATGCTCCGAAAACTCATTCGCATCTCGTCGAGAGGGAATGGAATAACACGGGAAACCGGGTGACCTACCCGGTAATATGCGGTGCGGCGGTGAGTATCGACACTGGGTTGGATCGGTAACAGTTGCGGAATGAGAGGAGCACTTGTTGTAGTCAGTGTACTCGTCAAAGTTGTCAGCGTCGTTTCCACAGAGGAGCTGTTCGATTCTTGTCTCTGAGGTTTCGGGTTTTGACGTCGCGCTTGCGTTTCGTTCAGAGCAGTCACGTTCGATTGCCACCAGTACACTGACGGAATGTAGCTCGTCAGCCGCATGGAGGGCATGCACGCCTGGGGGGTGCCCAGCCACGAGAAGATGCACAGCAAATAGACCGGGAGCATTTTTGTTTATCACGTGAAGGTCATCGAATCCACGACTCTTCTGAGCTTGCAGACCTGACGACAAACGTCTTCAAGCCGTGGGCCTCTCCACCCTAAGGTTTCGGATAGATTTTGATCAGAGATCTCAGCGATAAACTTGACTCCGAATTTGAAGAATCTCGCTGGGGCGTCGAAGCCCAAAACTTCGGTAAGCGATCGAGCCGTCGAACGAGCCATCGGGCGAGCGAGCGAACGAAAATCAGTCACTTGGGTTTTGTCTTTCGAAACCGCGAGTTCGCTTGGTTCTCAAAGACAGGCAATCCTTCGTTCCCTACGGAATCCTCGGAGCCTCTGCCGAAACGAGATGAATGAATACTTATCACGGACCCTCAAAAATCTCCTTCCCCCGTGGTATTTCCCGCAGACGTCATATTAGCGGGAAGCGGTTCTGGAATCATCGTGAAAGGCGCATCGGTGAGTCTCGGCGCCTTCCGATGGTGATACGATCACGGCTTCATTTAGCGGACGACTCGCGCACGGTTCGCTCCAGATCATATGTTCCAGTCTTGATGGGAACTCAGTCAGGCGGTCGGCCGCTACCTCAGCTCAGAGACTGCACATACCGCAAACGTGACTCGAGTACCATTTCCTGATCATGGAAGATCGAGTTCCGCAGGCCCTCGTTTCATCCGCTTGATTCCGAGCCCCTCATCCGTGCAATTGATGCTATCGCGTTATGGTAGAAAAGCACTGAGTCCGCCGCATGTCTGCGGTGTCGTTTTCGGGAGCCATCGCGGTGCATTTGGAATCCGAAGTGATTATTTCCGTCACGCATCGGGGGCGCTCACTCCCTAACACGGATCGAACTGCTTCGTTGCTGTCGTCGGGGAGGTTTGGGGCTCCGACGGCGAATATTGGTTTCGATCGGACTTTCCCCGAACAGGTCCTACGATCCGGCACGGCCCCATCCGCGCAGGGTGGTCTTGCTCTCAGCTCCAGTGTTTTTCGAAGCGGCGAATTTTGAGCCAGCCAGCCATCCACTCAGTCCGTCGGCATTGAACGAGCTGTTGACGATGCGCAATATATTCGGCGACAAATTATTGCATTTGATTGACGACCCGCGACTCCTCGCGCGTCACGAGCTTGTTCTCGCTCATCACCTCTCCCCTCCCGATCTCGGCGGAAGTCTGAATGAATCACGTTTTGCTCGTGCGAATCGACGCCGAGTATGGTCCTGGATCGGCCTCCGTGGAAGATTCCATTCATACGTCCCTAGATCCCTTAGTTATTGGGAATATTTCGACTTGCAGGGATGCCGCGTTGGATAGCAGCCGTGATTTGTGGCATGCATTCGCAGTGCCCGGATTTGCTTCTGTTCATCATGAGAAAACCTAGACGAGCTCCCAGTTAGCGGTTCTGGCGAGAGAGCATGAAGCTTTTTTTCGGGCTCAGTCAGAGTAGAACGGGTTCCGGCCGTCATGCTCCGTCGGGGACGGGAAACGAAACTTGAGATCGAAATGATCGAACCAAGCAAGCCTCGAACCCCAACTCCGACCTATTTCTACTATCCGAGGAAGAAGCCATCGAGCTCAACCCGATGGGGAAAAACACGATCGATACCACAACCGCTCACAAGTTGTACTCGCCCCCCACGGCTTGGCGCTTTCACCTCGACTCTTGCGTTGTCGACTGATTCATATTTATTTTCATTATTCTTCTTATCGGGGTCTCGACTCGTGATCTTGTTAGTTCGCCGGCCGTCGGGGAGTTCGAGCTACGCTGCATGGAATCGCTGTCGGTGCAAACTTCCCGGAGTTTGTTCGGGTCACAGGCATGACCCTTGCGTGGTTTTGTGCACGGCCTGCGCACCTGCGGCGTATCTGCACTGGAAGGGGCACAGCGATTTCGACATCTAAGCCGACGCGGGACCGATGGCTCATTAAACAAATCTCAAGCGTGGACCGTCAAAGGTAGACCAAAGAATGAAGGCCCCGGTCATCGAATTGGCTTAGCCGGAAATTCAGGGGAAGCACGGGTCATTCAACCCGATCCGACACCTATGGAGTTCCGTAAAAGTCAAGAGTGTCGGAGTCGAATAATCGGATAAGCGGAGCTCGGATCCAGTGTGTGCTGAAGTGGCTCCCGGGACACCGCAGAGTCACTCTTCTAATTGGCAAGAGGACATAATTTTTCCGAGTCCCTAGCGAGCTTCGAGCTCCCCTTGAGCGATTTTCGGGAAGCTCGTCTGGGCCCGACGTTGAACATTTACGCTGAGAGAGCCTGAGATTTTAAGCGCAAAGCATTCGTGATCGCAGCTGAATTCCAGCATGAATCGAGCTGCTCTCTCTCCTCCGAGTCCCATTGCGAGTAATAGCTCGACGGTCAATGAAGGGATTTCTTCGCTCCAAAGTTCTCATGCACACCCACGGGGTGGCGGGGGATCTCAATGCTCGTCTTGAGTCGCAACGGCCACGTTCGGCACCCTCCAGGCCCACGGTATTTTTAGTCATTGAGAAAGTCTCGCTCAGAGACGGCGTTCCGTGTCGAGGGTACACGTCAAGCAGCCGCTGCAGCGGAAAGCTGCGACTCGAGGGGCTCGGTCGACATATTCCAGTTATGACCATTCCGACACTGGTCCAAATCAAAGTGTAGGTTTCGGGTTTTTCTTTCGTTGAAAACTGTGGTTTTTCTCAGCTCAGACTTGAGAATTTCGTAGCTTGCTACGGAAGAAGCGTCGTCCGCGACAGGTCCCAGAGCTCCCAACCGCCCCCCCCTTCCCACCTGCAGCCACGAGTAGAATAAGTTCGAGTCAGGAGGAGTGAGTGTAGCGATGCACCTTCCGAGATCTTTATTTAGATTGCTTCACAGCGCCGCACGAGACCTGGGGCCAGGTGGTACCTAAGCTTTGATAATCCCCTTTAAGCGTGGTTTTCGCCATGACACAACACTGCTTCGGCGGCACAGGATTTTCACTTTAGATAACAAGCTGGCCGCCTCATTCGAAATCGGCCCCGACTGATGCGATCTCGAGACTTTGCTCCGTTTCTGTGTCTTGTCTCAACTCAAGAATGAATAAAGCGCGTGGAGTCGATCCGATCAATCATAACCCTCGTCTCATCCGTAGATTCAGGCGGAAAATCGAATCCGGATTCCGAGTTCTCATCTAATTACCAGCGAATGAAGCCGATTCAGATGCGGAGAGATCAACTGACGAAGTGATGAGATCGATCAGTGAAAATCCGAAATACGTTGATTAAGTAGAGTCCGGAGAAGAAGCAAAGAGCGCGTCATTCTTGTATTATAGTATTTGTCCGCTGTCGTAGAAATCTTCGTTGCAACTTGATGCTCGTGGATATACCTCAATCGGTTGCAAACCGAACGTCTCGGTGCTTCGGCCGGACCATCCCGGGCATTACGATAAATTGTGCTCATTCAGTCAATAATAATAATAATAATGACACTGTGGACATGTGCATCGAAATTCGGAAATTATCAGATTGAATCCGATCGAGGTCGCGGTGCGTGGGGTTCCAAGATCCGCAATGATCACAGTTAGGCTCGTGCAGAAATACGTCCGACCAGGTGTCCATGATCTCACTGCGCCGGCATGGCGATGAGCTGTCAATCGTGCCTTCGCATCGAATTCGTGGATTCCACCTCTGAAGTTCTCTCTGATCCTCTCGAAGTGGGTAAACTCAAGCAGACCGCAAGCTTTATGTACAAATTATAGGGAGAGATCATCCCCGCCGAGAGGTCGAATACTGCGTTTGGCGGTGCTTCGGATATTTGAATCGAGTCGTCTCCTCTCATCCCCTCAGCTCGTCTACGACTATTGGTCTCAAGTGATTTCCTTGGCGGCAGGTTCTTTCTGCTCAAAGAGTTTCGCTCCGTTGATGCCACGAATGGTGACCATACAAGGTCGCACGAGCACTCCGTGTCCGTTTTTGCATTTGAAATACCGATTGCCTTGAACGCTGCCGTCATGCTTGCCGATGGCTTGTCGGAACTCCACACCTAAAAACGTGCCTTCATCATACTGCACCGGTCCTGGAATGCGGAGAGAGAGATCTCAATGTCTGACGATTCAGCGAGACGTCGATGATCGAACTCGTCGGGATGGTAATCAATTAAGTTGTGTTGATAGAATGTGTGATTAAAATTAGGCGACTCACCTATGTAGCGGAGGATCCCGAGCTCTTTCTGCACGAAAACGTTCATGCCCTCGCGGAGCCAGTTGCAACTTTTTTTCAAAGTTGTCGAGATGATCTGTTTTTCGCCCTTATCCAGCAGCTTCTCGACCTTGCTCTGAGTTTCTCTCGACGTCGATAGACTCGATTTGCGCGAGCTTGTCGTTGAACCTTCGGTGGAGCTCCGCGAAATGCTCGCGTCTTTCACAGAGTCGTCGGACCCTTCCTCCTCCGACATGAGTCTGGAAATATTTGGGTGACAAAAATAGAAATATATTCCCGTCTGGTTTCGCTAGGCTGCGTCTTTATTTCGTGTCTTATCGAGCTTCATCTGATATATTTCGTCAAAGTGGAATAATTGGGCAATGAGATGAGAAGAGGCAACCATAAGCACCTCCGTACTACTAACTTGCGTATCCTCCCGACGAGAGCGAAGACGCCATGATTAGGCGGACACTTGAAGTACTCGACGCCTCCTACACAACCGTCGTTCTTCCCTTCGGGGGTATCCAGCTCGACACCGGCCCAGACACCGGAAGCGAATTTAGTCTCCCCCACGAAGCGTAGAATCCCCCGACGCCGGTTACCGACGACGACTCGATCGCCCACACTCAGATCAAACGAGTCAACGTTCGGGTCGCTGCTCCGATGGGAACGAAGACCTAAAAAAATCATTGCTCACGTTAGCGGCGTATCGAATAACTCAGTCCTCGGCAAGAAATGATTGAGTATGAATCGAGCAGAGATCCGTGTCGGCAAGAATAACTTCGAAGGTTTTTCTCACCGGTTTGGACTTTCGAAGTCACATGGCTTACATCGAGCTTTGGAAAGGAGAATATTCTCTCACGTCGCGGTGGAGCCATCAACTCGGAGCCTTGACTCGGTTTCATGATTTTCGTGATTGGCACGAAAACTCCGTGGTTGGCGGGGCAGATGAAGTACGAAACCCCGGCCAGAGAGCCATCGTTTTTCCCGCACGGCTCTTCCAGCTCCACTCCCGCCCACACGCCCGTCGCAAAGTGTATGGTGCCGCAGTATTTCAGTATTCCCGTCTGTGACGGAAAAGGAATTTTATTGTCGACCATCGGGAATTCGAAGCTAATGGATGTCCCAGTGGCTTGAAGTGACACATTCCACTCCCAAAGAAAGATCGTTCGGTCGAGACGAATATCAGATGCGCCTGACTTCATGCGATTGAATTCGTACTCCGATGGGAGTTCCAAGACTCCTGATTTTTCCGTGAGACGTTCTGGTACTCACCTTGTTAGGACTGACCATGATGGGGTCTCCGATTTTCAGGCCAAGAGACTGCAGAAGTACTCGGCCAGAAACACTGGTGTTGGGAGAAGCCAGAATTTCGTCTCTGGAGTCAGGTCTCAGCAAGTCTTTCAGGGTCACAATCGCGTCCTCAGGAATCAGGTCCGGATCCAAGGTCGGAGGAATGACCTCATTGGGCGTCCGTCCCAAATTATCTGTGATTCAGCGCAAGTTCTGTGTGATTGATCGGGGGCATGAAAGATCTTCTTCGAATCGTTTTCCGGCGAACATGAAATACCTGTCGCGTTGACATTGGCCCCGTACTGCACCAAGAGCTTCGCGGACTCAACGTTCAAGTTGGCCGCCGCAATGTGCAAGGAGGTTCCTCCTTCGAAATCGTTCGAACTTGACTCGAGATCAGATCGTTTCCCCGCCTTCAAGAGGATCTGGAAAAACGCTTCCATCTGTCTCCAACAAGTTCGATGACCGGAATTAACGATTTCGAGATAGGTCTGAAGACTGGAATCATTGACCGTGCTTAAGTCCGATCAAACGATCGATCACCGACCTCCACCACGTTAGGAACGTCGAAGAACACCGCGTAGTGCAGAGCTGTCATGTCGGTCCATCTGCATTTCAGTTTCAGATCCGCGCCTCGGTCGAGGAGCGCAGTTACAGTTTGCGCAGCAACCAAGCTCCCGCCGAGCGCGCCACTTTTCGCCGCATAATGCAGTAGGCTCATGTCGGTCAGACCGTCCCTATCGTTGACGTTAGAACCCCGGCGTAGGATCTGTGGAATGATCTGTTCCCTCAAGCACTCATCCCGATATTCATAGCAGGGGGAAAATTGTCTTGATCGAGAACTCCATGAAAGCATCGGACCGATGTCGCTGATTCGAAACTGATTCCATTAGCAAAGATTGACGGGGGTTCGTGTCGGACTTACCTCGGAAACCATTATATGGATGTGTTTCTGTGTCACCGGGTTCCAATGCCGGATCATCGCCAGAATCTGCGGGACCGTGGTCGTGTCCCTCCGCAGCAGCTCCATGCAGGACGCGCATTCTGAGAAGTTGTAGTGTCGATATCCTTCGGATTCACACTGAGAACACTTGGGAGCTTCGGCGGAGGGATACACTGGAATCCGAAACCCAATGGGAGCGTAGGGGGAATGTCATACCCCTCGGCACCTGCCGAGGTTTTCTCCATTCGATCCGCAGGGCTCACAGTGGGTCGAAACGGGCGACAAAAAGCGGGAAAAACATGCTGCACCGACATCGGGACTCACCGATAGTATGTTTCCTGGTGACTTTAGCAACCGGTCTTTCTCCGATGCTGTTGCCGGATCCGATGGAACTTCTGTCCACATCTCCCGAAGGATTCACCGTCATCGCCCTGGAAAGACAATCAGGTGAACGTCGTGCTCGATATTAGGATGAGCTGACCGCCGGCAGTGTAATCGAATGACAACGCTTCAAGTTAGTAACAAACCGCAGGCGGTTAGTGGAGCGTCGACTCATGGCGAGAACGCGCACAGACTGACTCGTCGGACATCCGAAACGCGGCCACTGTAGAGACAGGTGCACAACCAGAAAAAGCAGAGAGCTAACGCATCATAGAACGGTATCGAGCTTCACGCAACAAGCATACGGGTTCAAGTTACGTACGTCAACGACATTGTTTGCCGAACAGCCCTTGGTCTTTGTTAGATTTTTAGGTATATAATAAAATGTCGAAAAATGAGGTTCTTCGATGATGACGTTGTAGGTTTGAGATGATCGTGCTTCCCAACTCCCACTCGTTGTGGAATGGGTACAGCACGAGCGTCTCAGCTGCCGCCAGCGGCACTGAGATTCAACTTTCTGCAACCAGTACAGTGCTCTTCGACGATGCAGGTAGAAGGAAACCAGGCGAGGCTATGGCACTTCATTAAAAATCAGATGCTGCCGGTGATTACTGTTCGCCGTCAATATCGACAATGACAAGGAGAGTCGGAGTCGGTTGGCACTGATGTCCCTCTACCACTTCATCCACTTCCGGACTTGTTCGGGCTGTAGGATCAGTATCGAGCATCAACTCCGTCGCAGGAACGCTGTATGCCTCGCGATGATGTGCATCGCGTTATATAATCGTCGGCGGATTGGCATCGCCATGGCACTTTGGTTCTTGGGCTGACGGGTCCATCGACCGGAAGAATTTCGGCGTCGAGCGAGACCCGCTCGAAAAACTTCTTCTTCCGTGAAAACCCAAGCGACTCGATAGCTGATAAGATAGCCGACCCGACCCATTGACTTGAAAATTTTGCGAAGACGCGTCCCGCGAAAATCAGAGAGCTCCCGAAAACCCCTCCAGCTCCGCCTCCAGGCTCCTTGTTCGATTGAGAATTTCAACTTCCCCAGAATCTATTCCTTTGCAGAAGGTTCGAATTCGCATAGGGTTTGTCAGCAGGCTGGAGCCTGTCAGGAGTTTCGACCCTCCGAGTTTTCTAGCGGTTTCGAAAGCGCAGCCCTTGTGTCCTGAATTCCATAGTTCACATGTCTCTTGGAGTGGAGTCGTCTTGACTCTCTATCTCCGCCGGTCACTTCGGACATGTTCGATTTACGACTAGCACCAAAAAGACATGTCATTACGAAAGTCGTGCAGTTTCCGGAAGCCAATGAAACTTCAAGTTCGGCTCACCTATGTCATTTTCTGAAATCCCACCATCGCCAAAGGCTCGGAACCTGGTGGCCGTGACTTTCGTGGACATCTGGACCTCGCGTATTATATAGATTTCGACTTTTTTTACTTTGACCTAGGCTTGGCTCCATTCCATTCTCATCGTCATAGCCGCTCAGAGATTTGATCCAAACAGCTGATCTTGCCAGTGAACGCTCATCTTGTGGAGCCTGTCGTGAGATTCTAAAGAGTCCTTTTTGGATATCCGGGTGCAGAAGCACCTTCGTTCATTGACGGCGCCGACCGCTGACAGACTCTCCTCCCGCTCATAGCTCACAGGCTCATAGGTATGCAGATTTTGGGGCCAGTCAACTCGATGACCGAGGACCTAAATCCTCATGCTCGACTCGCGGGATAAACAATTTCCAACTTCCTTCGCGCATCTAACTGTGAAAGCTCCCGGAGGGAAACGCCTCTGCAGCGAAAAACGCCGCGATCACCGGTCCTCGTTCACAGATTTCTGCAAACCGCAGACTACAGGCCTCTCGAAGCACCGAAAACTCATCGAACATTGAATGGATTCCGGAGCGGAGTCGAGTCTGTGGTCCTGGATCCGCTGGTCTCCAAATCTTACCAGGGACAGATTGCTCGAGGGAGAAAGGAAGACCGCTATTCTGCTGCCTTCCCGCTCTCTCCGGAGCGCGAATTCTTAGGCGGGACGGCTCTCGTGCGGGAGACTTCACCCCAATCAATTTCTGACATGAGATGATCGCATACCCTCACTTGAGGCTGTTGAGCTTCAACAGATCCCAGGTCTCTAGCAACAAGTGACAACGGCGACCGCTTCTTGGGGAAATAATGGGATCCCGCGACTCCTCACGAGCGGAGGTCTATCAGTTTGTTGAAGGCTCCATGATTCTCGCCTTGGTCCATGGTTCCGTGTCACTTCACCGCCCGGAATTCGCGAAATCGTGCTCATGGAATCCCACTCATTCTAGCCTGCCTCAAACACCTACCGGCGACGCGCGACGCTTTTCAATAGGACGGTTTTTCCCTATCACGACAGTGATACGGCAGCGGCGTAACGACGAGTCCTACTCTTTTCTTGAGGACGGGGGGGACGGGGCTAGATCGAATAGTAGCACGGAGCTCAGGTTTAGGATCGGTAAGTCGACTTGATCCAATACCGTCGGACGCTATATCGCCGCCTCACCAGCTTTCCCCTGCGTTCGTAGATCGTCTCGCGGGGCCTCTGGATCGACCTTCACCGACTCCGTGTCGGTGCTCGAACTTTCTCTTTGCGTCTAGGAGCAACATCGACAGCACCTCACGACCCCTTCGAGGACTCTCGAGGGAAGAAGGGATTGTCCTGGGTAGTGCTTCAGAAGCTTCCAGTCTGACATCGACAGAATATTTCGACCGTGAATCCATCAGCCGCGGGGAGCTCTCAAGAAATGTATCGAAAACTCTGGTGTAAGACAATTAGAGTGGTCGAACTCCATGAGGGCTATCGAACTCACTCAGACAGCCGACCCCCGAGAATCCCAGACACACACGCAGGCCTCAATTCCTCCTGTTTTCGTCTCCACGCCCAGACGGAGCGGCATGTCTGGATCAGGGTAATGCGGTACCCGCGAAACGTTCAGACTCTGGTGAATGGGATCCACAGAGGACGTGTCTCCACTCTTAGAATCTGAGCGTGGATTCTGAGGGCGTCGTGCGATCCTCTGAACACCCGAGTTTCTCTCATTCAAGGGATCCTGAACTCTTCTTAGTTTGCGCGGACTCCCTATATATTCGTGCATCTCAAGCTTCGGGGAAACCGCTTTGGCCACCGCGACGAAAAGCCTGATCGTGAGTCTCTTCGCGCGCTAGTGCTAGTGCGCCAGCGAGGACCAGGAGCAGACGATATTCATCTTTCGCTGACGATGTTATTATCGGTTGAGCAACCATCAACACAGGCTGTGTAGTTGCTGCTAGTTGGTGCTGCTGGTGTGCCCGTCGTTCCGTAGCTTCCTAGCATTCTTGTGTTGTGGAGTGTTCGACAATATTGTGGGGAATCGCGGGGGCGACGAAATGATGGCTGCGTCGCCTAAAAGTTGAAAGAGGTCACTGGATCTTCCCAAGTGCGATGGATAACTTCACCAAGGCCCTGCTGAACTGGGTAAGTTTCGGGGAGGTATCAGCTGGGAGCTGAGAGATGCCAGCGAGTGTACAACAAGTGAGCGGCGGATATAATTCTCCTGGCTGGCACAGCTCGAGCTCGAGCTCTCACGCCAAGAGCAAGGTGGTAGGATCGGGGGTTCGACGACATGCGTTTCTCGTGGTGTTTCATCACGACCGTTTTCTCTGACAGTGACCGGAATGAATCGAATTTCGCGTTACAATTCCAACTGGACGCAAGCTCCGATTCCCCCAGGTCCTCAGTTGTCTCGGGACCTATCGCAGGGTGACTCCCCCGTAGTATCCCGAATCAATCGAATCCATATCCTTTGATCAGGCTTTTTTTTATGAAACTACTCTTTCGAACGCCCCTAGCAGAAATGTCAAGCGAGCGATGGCACCAAGCGAGCCTGGTGCCAGGTCGTCGTGCGGGAGAATCGAGGAGATCGAGGGACCCTTCTCTTGGTTTAGCTCCTGAAGAGTCAACGATTTTCGAACAGAATCGATCTATCCCTGAAAGCCATCGAGGCAGAGCAGATGTTCCCCTGTGGCACTATCTCAGTCGAATCCACCGAATGCCGAGACGTAGCATTTATTGCCGGAAGAGCACTTTTTCTCGCATCGTCGCTGCTCCAGCGAGCGATTGAGGGCCCAATTCGAATGGAGCATGATCTTCTAGTTTCAAACAAGTCGTTATTTTTGCTCTGCGAGATCCAGCACTCCACTCCCATGTTCCCGAAAACAGATTTGTTTTCTTTTCGTGGTTGTAAAGTGAAAACTAGCTTGGAATCGCCATGGCTCGAAGCGATTCCGATGTAGGTCAGTACTCCGAGTTTGAGCCGAGCCGCCACGAGCCGACTGGCGTACACACGAGCCTGCCCACAGTCAGTCACTCGCACTTACGATTGCATCCAGATTTAGGGATTAAGCCGACTGAAAAAACCCTGTATCATCTATCACTCATGAACATTTCATTGTATTTCAGCTGGATGCCTCGTTCAGTATTCCAATGCCGCATTCGACGCCGGAGGAGCTATCAGACGGAACGGCATTGGCCTTCGTATTGAATCAGATGTGAGTGCTGTCTTCATGCCTCGTCCCATGCATGCATGGGCTCATAATTATTAGCAGTCACTTATGTGCGTGGGAAGTACGAATGTCGCGAGGGCCGTCTCCTCCATTCGCTACGCTTGTCATTTTTTTCTCGTTCCGTTCGCCTTTTCATGAGTTTTCCATTCGCCCCTTCGTGAATGGGGATCTTGCGTCTCTTTTCGGACGCGTCCAGTATGATTTGAAAGAAACGACATTCGTCTCCGTTTTTCCTCTTGCTGGAATCATTCCTCCTCCTTGGTTCAAAAAAATCATTCTCGCCCGCGTCAGAAAGAATCGTGTCCGAACCTCGAGACGAAAGACCAGGAATACGCGTGCTCCGTTCCTTGAGCCGCAATACGTGGTTCGTTCGCGGCTCCCGACCGCACTAGGCAGTCTGAGTCCTCCCGATTTCCATAAAAGCTCCCTATATGAGGAATACATCGAAATAAGTCGATTCTGGATGGCGCCGTCAGAAAGTCGGATTCGTGTTTCGAGATAGGCCGGATCAAAAAACAATCACGAATCAACTGTCATAAGATGAGGCAGTGTCATAGAGTCGACAAACTGTGCGCTGAACTTCCGCGCCTCGATCTAGCGAACGGATCTCGTCGATGTAATTGGCTCCAATCGCGATTCATCTGGACTCTGGAAAGCAGGCGTGCGCTCCGCGTCCCGGAGGGGATCGGCGATCTATCTATTCTGAGCCACGTTCCTTGACACAATGGTAGAACTCGGGGCATCGAGATAACGATTCCCCGTGGTAATGTAACGGCGTTGTAGGTTGGCGAAGATTATATCTAGGAATTATGGAGCGATGAGAGATTTTTCCAAGCTTGACTCCGCTGAGGGAGCGGAGGAGTCGCCTTCCACCAAGAGTTCCAGCAGAGGCGTCACACAGACGCTCATGACTGTTGATTCAGGCAACGCGGGGCAGGACAAGCATGCTTCATTACTCGAGAAATCGAAAACTAATGGGAACGCCTCTGACTGGCATAGTCTGAGTCAGACATTCGCCGGACTCGATTTTACGTTCTTAATGTCGACGCTAAGTTCGACTGACGTCATGTTACAGAGACGCTGAGTTCTTCGATGACCAATGGCTGAACAAGCTCAGACCGGACTGTGGCGACAACTGGAGGTTGAAGGTGAGTTTTTCCCCTGCCGCTATGTCGAAGGTCATCTATTCAACCGAAAATATTGCACGCCGTTAAAGCACTGGGAGCCGAAGGCAGTCGCAACGGTTGGAAATCCGCGTTTTGGAAACGGTTCCCGTCTGCGGAGAAAATTCCGTGAAAACTTGTTCGTATTTAGTCGAATAATAAATCCTTCCAACAGAGGGTCGTTGGTGCTCTTGGTGCTGGCGTCGATCGGACGAGTTCTGTTTGAATTGGAAATTCGAGCAGAACGTCTGCCTTTCCGCCAGACGCGCCATCGACGTCCCATTCCGACGGCACCTCTCGATCGGAACCTTTAGTCACGTATTGCGCTTGTAGGTCTCAAACGTGAAGAAAGTCATCGGCAAGGTTGTCGACTACTACAGTGAGGTGTTGAGCATAGCTCTTACTTTGAACGAGGCGCAGCTAGCAGCATCCGTTGGGGAACACTCAAAAGATGTCGGACGCCTCTTACAACTCGTGCTGGGAACGGCCGTCAATTGCAACAAAAAAGAGAAATACATACAGATCATCATGCAGCTCGAGGAGGCTATCCAACACGTCGTTATGAAGGCGATTCAAGAGGTGAGTTCTGGGGGAATGCCATATTATCCCCAATCAATGAATTCCGGATCAGGGCTCCGACAATTTTGCTTCCAATAATCACTCGTCTCTCACTCAGATCATGGCGAACACGCATTCGCTTCCGCCGCCGCCAGCCGCCGATCCGATAAGTCCAGCGGGTCTCTCGGGTGAAGAGGTTGTGAAACGACTCGAAGAGCGGCTCTCGCAGGAAGAGAAGATCCGAGAAGAACTCCAGCAGAAGCTCCACGATCTCGAGGGAGTTCTTCAAAACGAACGGCAAGAGAAAACTCTTGTCGTTGAGGAGCTGCGAGACCTGCAAAACAAGCTGGCCAACGAGGAAGCGCCTCAGTGAGTACTCACTGTTGACTATTCCGACTGTTTTTTAGGAAACTCTGAATCGCATTCAGCGTTCCAGGGGTTCTGCATCGCTCTATCTCCCTAACTAATTCCTTCCGCGATGTTCCAGATCAATGGGTGAGAGGGTGCGTCAGCAGCGCGACCAGAAGACGAGACTCGAAAGTGAGCTGTTCAAGATGGAGCTAGCGAAAGAAGAGTTGAGATCGAAGCTCGAGGAAGCTGAGGCTCATGCAAGGGAACTCCAGAATCGGAATGAGGAACTGCTGAAAGATCGGGAGGACCTCAGCATTCTGAAAGATGAGCTCGATGTCTTGAGACATACAAACGAGCAAGTTGGGCGCTACGAGGCTTCCCTCGAAATGTATCGGAAGAAAATGGAAGAAATGAGTGACATGAAGAAGCAATTCAAAATGATGGAGGAGAAAAACGCGGAATATCTCCAGACAATCGTCAGACACGAAGAAGTGAGTGCACCCATCGTCGCGCTCGGTCGGAGTTCCCGAGTTCGGAGATTCGCTTTCGGACCCCGGAGCGAGCGATACCCGTTCGCTCCGCGGGCAGAGAACTCAGTGGCGCGATGGAGCCTTCATACGATAAATCAACCTGATATAAAGGTCTGTAAATCATTCTATTCCACTTTTCCGTAGGAGCTGTCCCGGGTGTCGACATTGAAGGCGCAAATTGACGTGTACAAGAAAGAAACGCATATGCTCCGCGAGAGATTGACTGAAGAAATTCAGAGAGCGGATCACGCGGAGTTTGAGAACAGGCGCGCCGAAGAGAAAATGGCTGCGATGTCCTCTGAAAAGGAACGGATACTCATCGAGCGCAATACATTGAGGGAGAGCGTCGAAGAACTGAAGGTGAAATTTACTCCCAGAACCTGAGTTTCAGATTAAACCCAGCGGGGACTTAAACTCCATTTTCCATTCAGGCTAACAAGCAGAATCCTCTCGAGGTCCCCGGGGGGAAGATGATGCGAGGGGGCAGCGACTTGTTGGAGGATTCGCCAGCTCTACTTAAAGAGAAGCTATATCGACTCCAAGTTGAAAACGAAGGTCTCAAGAAAGGGCAAACGAGTGCCGATGCGGATGCCTACAAAGGTAAATTATCTAATACATAACGAATGGTCGCAGTCGGGGACGGTGATCGGAACCTTCGGAGAAAGCGAAGTTGTCATTTTATCCTTGCGCTAATTTGATGCTTGTTCCGCTACAGAACTCCACGATGACATGAAGAAGCTCCTAGAGGAGACCGAACAGAAGCTCCGAGCCGCCAACTTGAAAATCTTGGAGTTGGAGTCTCAGAGCGCCGACAACTCGCTGCTTCGAGATCTGAACGACAAAGTAGCCAAATTGACCCGTGAGCTCGAGATCAAGAAACAAGAACTGCGTAACTCGGAGGACAAGTACGATAAGTGCATCGCGAAAGCCAAGACAGTCCTGAAAAACTTGAATGACAGCGGAACCGAGGCCGCCCTGCGCCATGAACTGTCGGAGAAGAATCAGCTCATTTCGAAATTGGAGAAGGACGTTGCTCAGATGAGAACTCAATATGACTCACAAGAGAGACTCATCATGACCGCCCTTCACAACTTCGGAGCCCACGAACAGCGTCGCGCCGCTGAGCAGCGTTTGGCGAGCGGAAGTTTCCTCAACACACAACGACAGAGCACGGCACGGAAACACAATCTCAGCGGAATTCAGTCGAGGTGAATAGCTCTGGGGAATTTTCACCCGCAGGCCTCCGAAGTAAATGCTCTGACACATAATCTGAACTTCTTACAGCGAGTTCTTCAAGTAAAGGTAGAGCTAGCAGACTGGCAGCTCGCTGTGATCCACCCACCTCGTTCTGAACCTCTTCTACCAGCGGGCGTCTCGGCGAAATCGGAAAATTCTCCAGATTCTCAATCATCGCGTCGCCTTCGATGTGGACCTTCGGACCTGTCCGGCAACTTGAACTCGAGGATACTCCCTGGCCCGCTGAACTCTGGTTTCCGTCCTCTGCAATAATTCTATGTTCACGATAGGTATACGGACTCGTTCTTGCAGAGCGAATGATGATCGAGGGTTGGTCGATCGCTCGAGCAAACTGCTGAGAGATGAGAGCGAGACGTCTCGACAACCCACCCTATTCTATGACTTCCGGGTGATCACCGGCAATCATTGCAACCACTCACCTGGGACGTTTGATATGCACTCCAAAAAATCAGGTCCGATGGCTTTCTAGATCTTGTCGTTCCGAAACTCTTCAGCGAGGCATAGGTTTTATGCTGAGTATTTATGTATGTTCTGCGAACGGACCCAACCGTCCTGCAATGTTCCCGCGTTGTCCCCTATATGACCACTGTTGTGTTTTGACCGACCACTATACAGTATTTCTCGTCGCATATCTCTATGAAATGACTATATAGAGCGATTGATGATTTGTTCAATCAATCACTAACTAAGTTTCGCATTATAAATTCCATGCGAAACTGCAGGCTCTGAGTCCGGGGTCGAGAACTTTTTTTGCACAACCTCCTCACAAAATTGAGCCACGGACTTCAGAGCTTGAAACTCAATCCCTCATGGTGCTCGATTCCCACTGTCAGCGTCATCGTTTCTGCGGAACTTCGTGGTGAGAAATCGAGTTTCCACCATAAACGACAAACCACGAAACAGCGCAAAGATGCACATGTAGGACTTGGGGAATTCGTTGGCCCCAATTGATTCGAAAAATGACCGGATAAATCGCTCTTTACCGGCAGCACTCCGAACTCTTGGAGATAGTTCTTGTTCACGGAGCTACCAAAGCAAATAAACTCTCTATTTATCTCTACATGATGATTGGACTACATGAGTTTCTTTTTTTCCCTTGATTATGAGATCGGATTCATTCTACCGTTAGTGCCTTCACCGGAATGAGAGACCCCTCGACGGTGGAACAAATCATGTACAAGTTTATTTACGACCTTTCGCTTTCAACTTCTTATGATGGGCTTTGGGAAGTTTGGCCGAGGCTTTCTGCAAAGGGGAGAAGCGTGTCTGGTGAGATAGAAGTGATTCGTCTCATACGGATAACCGGGGAGAAATACCTCCGAAATCGTGGAATTACGCGATCATTAACTCACTTTGCCCGAGACATCTTGGTAGCTCTCCCTCGTGTTCCGCTTCCCACGTTTCTTCTGGCCTCCGAATCCGTATTTGTCGTCTTTGCCAATACGCTTGAATTGTGACCGGCTCAGGCCCTTCTTGAGTTCCGGCCGCTCGTTTAGGAATTCCAAAGTTCCTTTACCTTTCCTGAACTTCTTGATCTTGTCCATGAGCTCTCGTTTCTCCTTCGCGCGCTGCAGCATGACCTCCGTCTGAACCGTCTTGCCGAGTTTCTTCATCTCGCGGATCTGTTTCACCTTCATCGTTCTCTCGACTTGTTTCTTCTTGACCAGCAGCTTCTGCTTCACTTTGGTCATGTGAGCGTCGCTCTTCGCCATCTGAGCGAAGTAATCATCCGGTCGTTTAGTAGGTATACCCAGTTCTTTAAGCTTAGCGAGTGCTTCAAAAACGGTGGCTTGAGCTTGACGGTAACTGGAAAACGGAGAAAACGGATTTGAGTGAAGGATCAGCGGCAGAATTACGACACTTGGTACAGGTGATCGCGTAACATAACACTCCCGGGAACCATAATCCTCCGTAAGTGAAAGTTTCCGGGTAGTTCTGGATCCAACTCTTTTTTATGACACCTTTTGAATCATGTTTCAAGTATCAACGAGTTTTACGACGCTGTTCACAGGATAGCCTCCAAGCTGCTATCTACCATTACGAGCGAAATCGCTCCGAAGCATCAGCTCCAGATTCGGTTTCGCCCAGAGGTGTATTCCAGCTGTAATTGGCATGAGCCCCTGTTCAAATATTTATGGCGCATCCTGTCAACAAAACCGCGTTCCTCGCGAGGTTTCGGCTCATTAAGCCTCAGAGTCGACACGTGTATTGAACATGAAGATCGAGGATGTACCCCGAAAGAAAGCGAAGATCCGCGATGAACCACGTAGGTCAGAGCCCGGGAGCCTCTCATAGTTGCGTGAGAATCTCCCGTGAAGATCTCCCATCCCTCGACACATATTAGTGACAGAGCATCGAAAGCTAGGTAGTTCGTTTCGGTGTAACTCACAAGAGCAATTCTCGTTTGAAGTCGTTGTGAACGTTGTCTTCTTCTTCGATCAGTCCTTTTTTCTCAACATCTAGTCGGAGGGATTCCTCATGCTCTTTGAGATCTGCTGTGAGCGGTGCAAGTTCGTTCGTACAATCGAGTCTCTGGAACCAATCCAGGTTCAGATGGATCTGCTTGTATTTCGCCTCAAGAGCCTCTACGTCGTTGACCTGGACTTGAGTAGCTGCGTGAGGTGCCAGCGCATAAGTTCCCGGCTGAAGTTTCCCGGAGGCTAGAGCTTCTTGCAGCTGGAAGGATGGAATTTTAAGGTGGATCCAAGTTGGGGGAGGCTCTGGGAGGATCTCGAAATGAGCCGTGACACTCCCGAAGTCGAGGGAAAACGGTGGGGGAAACCCTCGAGCAGTTGATGCCTCGATGGGCTCATCCCACGGTCTATCCCGATCCGAGAGCAAGCCGCAGAATTGTGCTTTTCGAGTTTCTTGCTCGGTGACAACTACGTCGCGAGACGGACACACTCCTGGACTCACCGCGGTGTCGGAATCATAATCGGTTTCGTCACAGCTTTCCGAGGAAGACATTTTTCCACTGTTGTTGACTATCAGATGCGCCGAATATCTCGTCCCTCGAATGAGCTGCTATATGCACGTGCGCTGTGTGTGGGACGTAGTTGGATGCGTGAGGTCGTAGTTGGAATACGAATTTCGCTGGAAGAAACCGATCGCGACCGTCAGGCTTCTAGAGTCTGGGCCGGAGTCCTCTCGTTCGGGACTTATTTCGATGGGCCGGAGCGATTGCGGTACCTATCCGTTCGAATATTGATCGCCGCGTGTGTCCAACTACAGAGGGGAAAGGGTTTGTTGTAATGATGTTCGCTGCTGCTCAGCGGATCTGGTAGAGAGAAGAAGTCCCAACACCATAGCATTAGAGAGCCCGAGGTGAGTTGCTTGAAGACGTTTTCGCGATTTTCTGGGGTTTCCGCCCCTCCAAATTAGCTCTGATTCCGGACCCGCGGCTGCGCGATGCGACCCCTCGATTCTACCTGAATATTTCCGACGCTGCGGATCGCCCTCCAGAAGTGAAACGTTTCGAGAGCGGTTTCTCGACCCTCTCGAATCTAGCACTCGGTCGTTGCCCCGCGGATCGAATTGTCAAAATTTCGGTATTTTGCAAGCTAGACCTAAACGGCTCGTGCCGGACCCCCAGTCGGGAAAGCGATGTGCGTCGTAGGTGAGACACTTCTGACGACCTTGTCACCTTCGTTCAGTGATGAGAGAAACTAATCTGATTATTCATCATTGATAAGGCCATCCCGCCGAATGGTTCCGTAAAATTATATCTGAGCCCGGGCTCGAGTTTCGCTCCTTCTCCGAGGAGTTTCGTGATTGAGTGCGATACAAAACGCGATCTCCTTCGCTTGTGTGTAGTTCTTCGTTCGCGTCTCGCGATCGCGAAATCCGCCTCGCATGCGTCGCTCGGATGATCCCACGGATCGGAGAGCGACCCCCATGAAGAGGCACCGTCTAATGATTAGTCGGGGGGTTCGAAAACAATGAATTCTGAGGTTCGGCAGCTAGATCCGAATCGACGATTAGATGCCTTGATCGAGTACTCATCTCCCGCGACCACACCCGACATCGGAAACACTCATGGATCGCTTCTTTCATTCCAGCCATGGCGATCGTCTACCCATATCTCACGAAAAAAGTCTACGAAACACGAGAAGACGAGTGCGTCATAAAACCAAGTCAGTCGATATTCGATTCCGACTTGAATTTCGAGGCCGAGGATTTCACCGACCGGTCAGACGACCGATCTCAAGAATGCCCCGCTGTCCAGGTCAAACAGCCGAGTTACTTCGTGCCGAAGTATGTATACTACAGACAAGCAGGACACTTCAAACGCATAAAAAAGCATCCGATGGCGGGACTGCACCGCATGCTCCGGGGCAATATGCTGGTCGAGCAAACCTATTCCATAGAGCCTCTGGACAAAGTTTTCTGCTCCGACTGGCTGAATTCGAGACAAGTCATTTTCGGGACGAAGTGCAATCGACTTATGCTGTTGGATACCAAAACCAAATATCTCATGGAGCTGCAGAACCTCTACAGCAGCGCGGCGACCAAGCCTCCCCTCGATGATATCTGCGGTATCCACGCGATCGCCGTCAACCCCAGTCGAACGCGTCTGGTCACGGGTGCGAGAAACCCCAACGATACCGCTGTGTTTTCTTTGCCGTCTCTCGATCCGATCTGCGTCGGGGAGGGCGGTCATAATGATTGGATTTTCGACATCAAGTGGCTCGACGACCAGCACTATGTGTCCGGTGGACGGGATTCGCTTATAATCCTATGGGACGTCAACGATAAGTACAAAATCGACGTGAGCGAGACGGGTTACATCCGTGGCAGACGGAACGAGGATCTACCAAGGTATTTCAACATGAATCCAGTGAAGGAGATCTGCTCGTTTGGGCACAAAGTACGCGCAATGGCCTTCGAGCCAAAGACGAGCGTCCTGTCGGCTCTGACCCTGTCGGCTCGCGTGCAATTGTGGGACATGAAAACTCAACAGATGACGATGGATAAAGCTCTCGAGTATGATCAGGAGAACGTTTGTATCGCCGTCAAGGACAACATGACTGTAGTAGGTTCGAAATCGTATGTGACCATCTTAGACAGCCGAAGCCTAGGTACGATCCGAACGATATCTGCCTTGAAGTCGATCTGTGGGGTGCGGTCGCTATCATTCAAGGATTACCTATTGACGGTCGGTACCGGGCAGAGCAACGTGCTCTTCCTAGACACTCGGAATTTCCAATATATCGAGATCGACCCCGAGCTCCAGACACCGAAGCGGGCCAAAACTCTCCCAGAGCCGCCACTGACGATGCGGAGTCGGGCGTACCTGCAGTGCAGCCCCGGTTGGATGTCGCCTTCGGACAACAACTTCGCAGATGACTATAACCCGGCGGTGTACACACATTGCTATGATCCTACCGGATTGAAATTGTTCACCGCTGGGGGCCCACTACCAGCCAGTTCGAGAGGGGGATATGCCGCACTTTGGCAGTAGAACGCACGCTTGTAAAAACGAAAAAGAATCCTGTACAATTTGTATAAATAAGTCTACCGTAGAGATGATCGAGCCGTATGAAAGGAGATCAGCGTGACCCTGAAAACGAGGTTGTGGGACAACCCCATCTATATTGGGAGAGAGCCGAGCTTGATCGTCGAGAAGTAGCCAAGTGAAAAATAAACACAGCCAAGGAACTCATCGTGATTGGGGAGCCATCATCCTCGTGTACATGGTTTTGGACGACGCTTTTCTGTTGGGGTTTTCTCTTATTATATCCCCGGAATAGAATTCACTGACGATAAGAAAACATTTTATAAGGCTTGCGCCATATCACCGCGTTTTGCGAACATGGGGCAGCGGGCGGATCAATCATGTGGTCGATATCTGATCAGAGTTTTTGTTTTCGACTTCACTCGAACATCGGTTTCCGAGGATTTCACGGTGATATTCGGCTCCACTAATCGCTCCCTTGTCGAAACTCCGCTTCATGGTTCGGAGTTTGGCGGTACTGGTTCGTCGGAGGGTCGCTGGAGTCGTCCGGCGTCGAGACCGGACCGCGACCGCGATCGGAAATCTCAATTTGTCAATGGATTTTGTGTTTTGAGTGATAAATGGATATCCAGAGGGGTATTTGTATGTTTATGGAAATGAAGTCCGGTGGAAACAAGTATTCACTCGCGTTGTTCCACGCTCCACAACCTGAATACGGTGACAAACATCATTCCCGAAAACGACGAATAAAAAACTACGTTCAAAGTCGGATGATATCTTTTGTTTTCCATCATGTTCAACATCCGCCTGTCCTACGCCTTTAGATCCGATGCGATGAGTCCCTGACGCAAGGGCGAATTGGATACAAGTGACAGCAATCGTTTTGGACAGGGTGAACCGAGGTGCAAGGTGCAGCTTCGCAAGATACTCTAGTCGTAAGTCGTTTACAACTTCAAGACGGGCTAGCCCCCTGGCGATCACCATCGTCGGTTCCATCAGGATCGAAGCAAATCGACTTGACCTTTCGACGTGGGAGCGAAGTCCCCACTTGAACTCTCTCGTCGCTCAAATAAGGGAATGCAGTCGATTACGTAGGATAAGACCCGCTCAAAAGAGTTCTTCGGTTCAGAAGATTCGGGACTATCTCAAGAGATTGCGAGAGATCGTAAGAAAAGAGAGGGTATCTCGTGATCATAGAAACGTGAGACCAGGCCTTCTCGCACAGAGAGGAATTTTCTTGGCTCGAATAGTCGGACCGAATTTCTCTCTAAAAATAAGAAACCTATCTCACGTCACATACCGTCGATAACCTTCTCCTGAATGGGACGCTCGCGCAGAGGACCCACCCGGGAGCGGAGCTCACGTCGCAGCAAGTCCGACGACAGTTAGGGCTGTAAAAGTTACAAATATACGACTGTAAAATATAGTAGGTCTAAAACGGGTTTGTCATAGCCATAACGCATCCGCCGATAAGGGCCAGTGTCATCCATCCCGCTTAGAGACCTAATGATCGCTTAGGACGCGTACTACATGTACTTGAGACGCTCCGTTAAGGAAGAGCTCACAGTCCACCATCGCCACGAGGCCAGCAGTAGTTTGACAAGTATTCATTCAAAGCTGACGATTACATCGATTACTCATCGAGTATCTACTCGTCGAAGCTGAGGGAAATACCCTAAACGGTCGGTTGCAGGGATCCCCTAAGCGTCGATCCCCTTAGCGTTCCCAATGGGCATAGCCGTTCTCTTCAGGATTGACGTTCTGAGTAACATCATGGATGGGTGGTAGCCTCGCACCACAACGTCCTTCACGGCGACAACGCTCCTTAGATTCGAGTTCGACACAGTCCTCTCGATGCCTGATCCGTTTCTCCGGCACGATCTCCAGATTTTCCCGTTGTAACATTACACGAGCATTCCACTTCCTGAAACGACGCAATCAGGCTCAGCCAATAATCGTGGATTATGCTCTATCTCTTGGGGAGAGGCGGTCAACCGTCTCGTTTGTCAAGATTCGGAAGAAGGCTTCACCCCGGGCCTCGAGAAGAATTCTAATGAATAACGTGGCATTTGCTACATTGAATGGCCGCGACGAGAATGTCTGACGTTTACGAAATCCGATTGTTCCCCACCGGAGGTTCGGGGTAAACAGGCGACTGTACCCGATTTGTGCTCCTGAGTGGCAGTGGCCAACTATGAGATCTCTTGAGCTTCATTCTGGATATGTTCATCTCCTGTCGATGTTTCCGGGTTTCGACGTAGTAGAGCAGCGCCTTCTCGAAACCTTTCCTGAAATATCTTCGGGCAACAGCCAAACATGCCTGAAGAGATGGATTACTCTCTTCAGCCGCCGAAGCGAAGGATTGCGATGGGAAGCCGGTCCCATCTGACCAACTCGGGACATCGATCCAGGCCTCGGAGCGTGCGCGTCGGTCGAGCATCTCTTGAGAATATCCGTCCATGGTATTATTTGAATCGCCCTCTAATTGGAGAATAACCAACATCACTGCGAGAAGGGAAACATTGCGAGGGTAATCCCTGGGCGGCGCAGCGGAGGCTTTCTTCCGCATGAGTGCTTACCTGATCTCGATTCGGACGTCGGAGGACCAACGGGTACGTTCGGCTTGCTGTAGAAAACAGAGCGTACGTTTGTCAAATGCCTTTGAAGTCGGTGTATCTCGGCCGTCTGCCAAGCGTCAAACTCCTCTTTGCCAGGAGACTGGTCCATACATACATCGTTATCGAGATGAAAGCGTTCACGTGCAAATCTCCTACTCAAACAAGGGTCCGCGGACCTTGCGATTTGTGATTATCGATTGAAATTTCTATCGGTACCTGTAGGTCGCTTTGGACGGGCCTCGAGAAGAAGGAAGAGATCTGCTCGGAACTTGCTGTAGCCGCCGTGAGGTGATATCCAATATCATCGGAAATCGTGGTCGCACACGAGTTTTGTGGGAAACTCGAATGAAACAAGACACCATACTACATATGCATCCGACGGGCCGCTCTGGATTTGAGCTGCGGCGCGGTTCTACTGGGGTGGACGAGAGCGAGTAGAGGCAGCCGAGTCTGTAGCCCCCGCTGTTGCAGTGGTTAATTGACGGGAAGGCCGATCTCGTGAGGCTCGGCTATCAGATGATGGATCCCAGAAGGATCCGCGAAAGGGTATGCCTTCCAGATTCGGATCGAATTTAGAGGGAAAGATCCAGGAGCTGTTATCCGCTTCCGTGGGATCCATATATATCATATGCGGACTCATCTTGAAAATATGCTACTGGGCTCCGAGTACATGGGTATTTATGTTCCCAAAAAAGTAGGAGCCCCGTAGAGAATCTATTCTCGCTGCATTCTCGCCAAGCAATCGATCGTCACTGCCGTTGAGAAGCGATGATAGGAAGAGAAATCGATATCTGATATAGACAGACGTACATATACCTGGATTACAGCACGCATTGACCTCTTAGAGTGCTTCGAGTTGGGAAGCCCTCTGCACTCGCCCTTGTGTCCCACGTTAGTCACGTACATGGTACTTTGAATGTCTTTTTCGCTCAAGATGGACCAAGGACAACAACGAAGCTCCGTCAAGGATGCCAGCAGAAGAGACAGCGAGCTTACGAATGCGCCGAGATCACAGATTTGTATCAATCCGATACCCGGTGAGACTAGGATAGGGGAATCGAGATTCGGGCCATCATGTACGCGGGATGAAACGATCGAGATTTGGGCAACTGTGAGCTCATTGCAGTCGCAGTTGAGATTTTGGAAGATTCCGATGTCAACACGGATTCCGGAGCCGAGGGCCGTCTCAAATTTGAAGATGTCGACCGCGAATATAAAGAGTAAGTTCTGCTCCTATCCGGGTCTTTGATGGTTCGACTTGATGTGTTTTTCAATGAACGCAATAGGAAATTCGCTTGCGATTGACACCGAGTCGTGTCTCCGCAGTGACGTGAGGGCTGCTGAAGCTAATTTGCAAGCAATATTGAAAATGATGTACATACCGGATCTCGAGATGACCCCTTGGGAGCATTTCGGAATGAAGCAGTCGTGCCTCGCGGGGGTTGGCCTACTCTCTCGGCTCCGCCACAGAAAAATAAGTTGTACCGACATCCGCGACCATATGGAGAATCTCGCCTGTTTGGTTGATCTTATTTCGCAGTACCACCCCCGTTCATCTGGCGTGAGATTCTCGGGATTTTTCTTCCGTCCAATGATACTTCCCCTTTTTCGATAATTCCTGCGTCCAGTGCACGCATACCAATTCATCTCACCCTCGATCCTTATATCGTGTTCACTTCATGAATAATATCCTCATGAAGACGACTTCTCCTTACTTCAAGTACGTCGCTTATTTGTTGGCCAACATGTGTCAAGCCTTGGGGAAATTCGCGGAGCTACTCGAGGACTTTTCTCTGAAACGAGTCACCGACTGGACAAAAATCAGCAATCATTACGTCGATCTCTATCGACAGACGGTTGCGCGACCGAAAACCCCCGAAATCTACCCATCCGTGAGGCTCTTCAACGACCCGCGCTTGATAGGTATCTATCTCTTCCGTAGGAAATGAAAACGTCCTGAATGTCCATCATCAGGCAGTGAGCCCCCCGTCCGGCTCTCTGAGTTCAGCTCCTTCCAGCGCTCGGTGAATTCACGTCCACGCATTGCGCTAAGGTCGGCCCGAACGATGTAGTGATCAAGGTGGCCTTCCGGAAAAAACGGCCAATATACCGCAAGAGGATATCCCACAATAGGAAACTAATCCTCAACACAACTCAAATGGGTTGCATGGTGAGGCACCCCTTGTTCGCGAGAGTATATTCGGCGTTCTCCACCGATCTGGCCTACCTCAGTGTGATGGAGTACCATTGCGGGCTGGATCTCGATAAACTCGTGGCTACAAGTCAAGCGCTCCCATCAATGTTCGCAATGCTTGTGGTTGCCCAGCTTTGTGTCGCGATTGAATATCTACACTACGTCGGTTTCATCCACCGCAATATCAAGGTTCGTTCCTCTTTCGATTCGTGTTAGCAGGGTCGCGGAGTTGGGTCTGAATATTTCTCAGAATTCTCTTCATCGGACTTTCGGAACTTACAGCCTTCGAACATACTCATTTCGCCGATGTGTCGCATAAAGATCATCGATTGCTCCGCAGCGAGGGTGTGTTCAGGTATTTTCAGTGCGCGGTTCCTGTCCGGCTTCAGGCGGAGAACTTCCTCGGAGTTCAGTGATCATGAATCAGAGGGGGATCTCTCATTCCTGGCACCCGAAGTGATCAGAAAAGCAGCCTACGGAAGGTGATGGGGGCATTCCCGAGAATTCACCTCAAATGAACGAATATCGATTAGGTCGTTCATACTGGAAGTTCCGGAGATCGATATCACGTAAATGGACTAGATGATTTCAGAGCCGTCGACTGGTGGTCTGTGGGCGTGACAGCATACCAGATACGCTTCGGAAAGTTGCCATTCCGTGGGAATACAGAGAACGAGCAGAAAGCGCGGATATTGAAAGGAGAAGTCACCTTCCAATCCGATCCCAGGGACAAACAGTTTCTTGAATACACGGACTTCGTGCGGTTGACGCTGAAAAAAAATCCCAAAAGTGCGTGAACTCCTCAAAGGAGTGGGTTTCGACTTTGACTCATCCGAGTAGCCCCGCCTTAATTTCCAGCAAGGATGTGCTCAAGGGGATACGATGAATACAAGAAGCACGAATTGTTCCGAACTCTGAGCTGGAGGAACATTGAAACGCGGACTGAGTTTTTGAGCTTTCCTCCGATCTCGACCTTACTCGAAGGTGGAGAGGTCCCGACCAAGACCGTGCCGCAAGACTTCACCCCTGACTCCACGATCATAACCAACTTCCTAAACCTGAAAGTATGCCAACCAATGACCCCATTGCCCAGAGACTGATGATCAGTGACGCGGATCAGCGGAAAATCGTGACGGCTCACCCTTCACATTTTTTTAGGATACGACGCAGCAACATGCCTTGTACGTTTTCTGCTCTGAGCCCATGCGGACTCTACTGACGGTTCCGACGAATGGTGCGAGCCTGGATCCAATGACAGATGACTTCCTCGTTCCTTTCGAAGATGCCCCGTACAAATTTAGGGATATCTTCAAAGCTACGAGAATGTTCTAGCCTTCCATGAGTCAATCTATTGTACTCCGAATGAAAGACTTGGTTTTCTCGAACTTCCGCTCATAATCGAGGCTGACATGATACTCGGGTAGAGAGAAGAGAAACGAAAACCGAAAAAAAAATAGGCATACTCCGGGTGGTGCACATCGACGTGCGGCTGGACCGCATGATTATGTCGAAACGAAGTGAATGTGCTCCAGCGGGCACGACTACCGCTTGCTTCGGGTAACAATTCGCGCCTACAGGAGACGCTTTCAGGGTTATTCGGCGGCTTCGGGGAGCGGAGGAACAGGGCTGAATTATCTGATGATCCTTTTACCCCTTTCGGCGAGGTGGCGACGGGAAGAGGAACCCCTATCCAGTCGTCCCCTGCCGCCCTAATTTCGGATCGGCCGTCCGGGGCGCCGCCATCCTACGAGCTCGCGTGGGGGCTGAAGGCGGAACCCCATTTGTCTTCGTTATTTCCGCCCAATCTCATCCTGTAATCGGGCCCTCTAGAGTCTCTCAGGAGGAGCATCCAGGATTTGAAGGACACACACCAAGTAAAACACCGAGGGCGCCACCTGGGGAGGCGGTTCCGCATAAGCGAAGACTCTCTCTTGGTGCCCTTTTCGGTAGTGACGAAAGCTCGGCGCCCTGCTCCTTCTCCTCCCGCAAAAACTTAGAAAATCTTGTTTTGTGCAGCCGAACGGTTTTCGAGCGAGAGTGTGGCGAATTCCCAACACTGTTATTAAGAGCAACGTCAGCCAGACGCTCCACCGAGCTCATGTTTCTCGCTGCAAGGTGAAAACACAATCTGTTGCGGGATCTCGACTCGTCGAAGATCACGGTGTTCTTGTTGCATCGAGCCATGATGGCAAATGATGCCATTATCCTCAGGCGCTCACAACTCAATGCCTTACCGAAAAAAGGCACCCGTGATATCGAAAGTTTCACACGATCCCTTGGAAAGATCCTCTGTGCGGGGAAGAGAGCGGAAATGGAATAGGTACATAGGAAAAGACACTTCACACACGAACGCACGGGGAGAACGAGAATCTGAGGGAAAGAGAACACTGCCAGGCTAGCAGAATTGGAGAGGCGCTCATGGAAACAGCCATCTCTTCCCGCGCCCCCGAAAATCCGCCCGCTCGGGGAAACAGTGTTTTTACTGAGTCCTCCCCTAGGAGAGCCGCCAGGACCGAACCTCGACAACATAACGATCTCACACTTCATGATTTTAAATCTTTAATGGATTGTGAAGCTCCAGCCCGAAAACGATTTGAGTCCCTTCCCAGTTGTGCTTCCTCCATCTCGGAGAGGCTGGCTGTCGGTCCGTCGGTCGGTCCGGTCGTTCGTTCGTCGGACCATTCGACCGACCGACCGACCGACCGGCGGAATAGCCGGCGAGCTCGACGATCTCGTCCCATACGAAATTGAAACTTATATAGTAGTTAGCGAACGCAAACGACTCCTCTCGTCGGATGGAGAGCGTTCATTTTTTAGATGGTACAAACGACACTGGAAATTATATCATTAACATTCGTGGACACGCCTCGATCTGAAGAGTCATGCAGAGACAAGTCCCGCTGCCTGCTTTGTCCCAGGACCCGCGGTGACTGCTCACCTCCGGGGAGCCAAATCACCTCGCTGGTTCGCTTTCGTAGCTTTGTCGGAACCGCATCGGACGATTGTCATCCTGTCGGCGCTATCAACTCAACTGCAGCCCTCGAATTGGACCAACTCGGATATGCGAAGCAAGCGTCGGATCGCGGGCATTCAAAATCTTTTCGAGGATGAACCAGGAGCTGCGCAAATGCCCGGGCTTCATTTCCCGCGAGCATGTCGCAGCTGAAGATCCGAAGCTCTCGGGTCCGAAGCAGACACAGGTCTCACTTTACAGTCGTTGATTCCGCAGGATGAGATGTGGACCCGACGGGCGAGGCGTTCCCTCGGTCGGGGATCATGCGATTTCCTCTGCTCCCACTCAGACCTGATCTGATCGGCGAAGATAAGCATCGCTGATATGTCAAGTTCTTTATGTGACTCCGATCGAATATTCTATTGGAAGCTATCGGTTGTAAAACAATTTTCAGATTTTCGGAACAAAAGCCGGAAGACCACATCATCGACAGCGTCATTATAAGCCATCTGGGGTCTGAAGGAGTCCCGGTCCTACCTAGCGAGAGGGCTAGAGATCGGGAAGAAGAAGAAGCAAGAGAGATCGACGGGCGCCACTCATTCGGTGTCAATAGCGATCGGTGGCACCGCCGCAGCGGCTGCTGCTGCTCGAGGATAATCTTAAGCTGTGATCTCTCCCAACGCCGGCGGCTCAATGGCTTTATGGCGGAGACTCGTCGACGACGATCGTAGCAGCGTTCTCCGACGATCACTCGCTCGCTCTGCTCTGACGCCCCTTGGGTGAGAAATGTCACTCGATCGATGTGATTATTCGATGCTCCGTCGCTAACTTGGAGCTCCGACCCTTGAGTCGAGTCGAATCAACTCCTCTGCGAGTGTGTTGGACTCCGTCGATTCTCGTCGGAGTGAGTTTGTTTTTGCTAACTCGTTTGATTCTCGACTGACTGCTCATTGACGGGCGGAGTGACTTGCCGTCAGAACGAGACTTCCCTGGGACCTTGTCGGCGATTTTTCATCTCCCACGGCTGGATGAACGAGTCTTGATCTTCCCGACGGCAAGCAAACGAATGGAACTTCCGCTGGGATCGCTCACCGAAAAAGGAATTTCGCTTGAGTGCTCTCCGTTCATTCCTCGATTCTCTCGCGACGCTTTAATCCTCATGGACTGAATTATTCCTCTCTCTATGATTCCAATTCCAGATTCATGGCAACGCAGGATTTTGCCCCCTCCGAAACGAGTATCCGTCGCGGCGACGGTTGAGCCGGCGCGGCGGGCGTGTATTCGGCTTGTTGTTCAAGATCTTCGGTTTCAGCGACTCGAGAGCTTTTAGTGAAGTGTTTCTTGTTGTCATGATTTCTTCATTAGGTAGAAAGAAAAGCTCAGTGTTTTGAGGCGCTCGGGGCTTTGTGCTCGTGTGTGTTGGCGGACGACGAGCGGTGGTGCTCTTCTGCGAAGCGGCGCGGCGTCGGCGTGTGGTCTACACACAATGTCCCCGCAGGAGTCCCCTTCTGTACAACGAGCAATAAAGTGACGCTGTCAATTCTATACAGCTTTGCTCGTACCGCCTCTCAGGTGTACGAGTGAGTCGACGTTTCGTTTTCTATGCTTTTTCTACGAGAGGTCGACTTCTACCTAACTTCTCGCTGACTGGCAGCTTGGCCTACCTGTTCGCCCACCCGGCTGGTCCGTGTCGTGTTAAGTTGTGTTGCAAGTTTCGCTGAATCCTATCATCGTCATCAAACGCCCATGATGACCGAAATGGCTCGTTAGAGATTCGCGGAAAGAAATTCGCTCAACTGTCCGTCGTCCATGTACCTCATGCAGTGTATATTCCTAATGCTGTTGAAATGCGAGACAACAAACTGACCGGTTTTGTTGAAATGTTGTTATGTACTACCCCGTTCTCCCGCGCCCGTTCGGAGGGCGGTACGAGAATCTCAATCATTGAAGCGCCGGGTGGGAGTTCGATGCGTTCGCTGAGGAATACTTTCGACAGCGGAGGGTTCTCGCCTCTGAGTCCGTCTCGGACCAGTCACCTTGATACTCGATAACGGATGGGTCGAGTTTGGCAAGGAACGCTCTCAAAAGAATAACATCACCCTTGGAAACGAATGCCGCGTCGATTGACGCGGTGCTCACGCAACAAACAAACTAATGTTTCGACTAACACACACCCACCACGAGGGCTCGGGTCTCCCCTGTTTCAGTGGATAATCCGACATTCGGCTACATGGCAGCTGAGACGACTGTATCTTGATGATACGATCGTTGAAAACATTCAAAAGTATCTAGAGAAGGTCTTTGTGAAGTGAAGTTTCTCGGAGGTGTTGACACGATTACAGAGCGGGCGGACTATCTCGCTTTACGTTGTCTCGGCGGAGAACGGTGTTGTTTCTAATGAGACATCGGTTGCTGGGATGGAATCGGTGGGCCAAGATCTTGTTAGAGAATGTCAGGCCGGTATTGGTTTGCCTCCGCTGCGCTCGGCGGGCAGACAGCAAAACTCAGCTGCGAGGAGCACGTTCGAAACATAACGAGCTCTTCCTCGCCATCTCGCCTGCTCCCTCCATTCCTCTCTTGTCCGGTTCCTCGACAAACTGAATTCGAGGATTCTCGCGTCGGGACTTCTTGGCTTCCGGCTTCATCAAAAAGGAGCACAGCGGAGTTCCGAGATACGGATTCGACTGAAGCTGCAGAATCCATGATTGCGAACCCATGAACCGGAATAGTATTTCGCCAGTCGCCACTAGGGTATCGCCAGACGCGGAGCGCGAGTCTCCACAACAGGTGCCGTACTCGCGTAATCAGGAAACACGGTCGACTCTCGATGCAGAGGGAAGTACTCGGAGTCCAAAAACCGCGACCCACCCAGCAAACCGAGTCAAACGGCGATCCAGCGGCCGATCTCCAGTCGGTCGGTTTCCTGGCCGGTCGGTCGCTCCCTCCGTCGGTTAGCCAGCATAAACACTGGCGGAAGATTTATCAAACCGACGAGTCAGCTTGCTCATTGGTGTATGCTTTCTAGTGGAAACAACTCACTCCACACGAATCGATCATGTGATCACCCGAGACGTTCGACAAGATTAGCGATAGACGGATCGGGGATCGAACTGGGAATGGAAAATAATCGCAGAGACGCTTAATAAATAGATGGAAGCATATGTACATTAGGGATGGAGCCGGAGGAGGAGGACGACTTCACACCCCAGGAGTTCGCGCCGGTGACTCGTCTGCACAGAGATCGCGAGCGAGGAAACAAGCGCACCAACGACTTCGAAGGGTTTCGGGATAATTAGATGTGTCCGACAATCTCCCATCGAGTGTGAGCTCGGGGCTGTCACCCCGTCGTGGATGATGGATGAGCTGGGATGTATGTGTT